GGGGGGGGGGGGCCCCCCCCCCCCCGGCCAGCAAACGAAGATGTCGGGGACCATTTCTCCGAGAGATAGGCTGCAGCTCTGGGTTAATACATTTTTGCTAAAGCAAAAGGAAAACTCAGGTAGCGTAACCGCTACCTTTCGTGATAAGCACCCACCGAATGTGGAACACATGTGACTCGTCGCAAAGGGTCCGAATCTGGAGATCATAGAATGTGTGCCCGACAGGGCAACTCGTTTGCTCAAAAGAAGATCCGAACACCATTTCACTTCTCAGCCAGCCTGTTCGGAAGCCACTCTTAACACATATAGTCGTTGGTCTTTCTTCGGTTCACGAAAGTTGTTTCTAGTCCTGGTGTAGATCTTAACCCTCGAAGTTCGAACGTATTAGGTTTGCTAAGTATACTCTGCGTTAAGTGCACAGTTTCCAGACCATAAATCAACTTGTTTTTTCACGACAGCTTGATAGACATGGATTTTCCAACCCACAGTTTGCAGCCTTCCAGAATGGTTTCCGTTTTGACCATGTTATCAAAGACTGTTGAATTCTGTAGAAACTTCCTGCCGTATATTGAGAGACTGCGTTAATATGATGTCCAAGGTAAGTTGTCTCATGTTGTCTCGGAGCACCTATTCAGTATGGTCCCATAAGCCAACTCTAACAACATTGTTTCCATTCATTGCAATGTATGAGCACTTTCCCCCTGCATAGCCGAAGTCCGAATTGCATTGAAATACTTTCCACGACCCAGAGTATTCTGTTTGCGGCATATGTGTTGGCTGCAAGGGGTAGAGTGTCGTCAGCGCAATAGATTCTAGCGAAGCTAACATCTGGTTTTCCAGCTCCAAGAGCATGTCTATCTAACAGGGGTGAAATGTTTGAATTCCCACAGCATAAGCCCCCTGAAAAGCACAATCGCGACCAAAACCAGGGTTGCAACCTCATGCAGCGACCAAACGGATTGTCACTTCAGCCACCCTGGTGGCACCGGGATTTGGAGCTACTTCCTCTCTTCCCAGCGGCGCTCCGGAATCATTCAGACCCAGCAGCTCGGGGTATTGGAAGCCAGAGCCAGCATCGAAGCGCGTCAGCTCGATCGGATCCAAATGCCGGGCTTCGCATTCTTCATGACATGAAGTGCCAGTGACTTGTGCTCCATGTCCTGATCGGATCTGGCAGGGAATACTCATAGCTCGGCTGCATAGCAGCAAAGGCATGTTGCGAATTCGCTTCATTGCAATGGATTGGGGGGGACAGGACGCCAACAATCTTGAGCAGGGTGACAGCCCAATGTCCCTTGATATTTCTCAAGTTGGTTCTCGGTCGCAGCGACACGAAGTGCACGAAAAAAGGGGTCCCGAACTCAAAAGGGAATTTCTTTATTATATTTATATATAAAGACTATATATAGATCTCATTAGTCTAGTCAAAATATAGACTAAACTAAATCTAGTCTTTCTATGTAGACTAGACTAGACTATAGATCTCATTAGGCATGTCCTCAAGCATCTGACTGTGCTCGGGACCGCGCTTGCTACCAAAATGCTACCACCTGGGCTCCCCCAAACCGTTTGGGAGGCTGCAGGGGAAATGATTGCTTCACTAATCTTCACTAGCTGATACTGACCCCCAATGTTCCAATGATCATTGCTCAGTATCCCTTGATGATGAGGAATCTCCAAGAGCCAAAGGGTGCTTAATGAGCAAGTAAGGTAGTGTCTTTGAACAACCATGAGCAACATATTGTTTGATATTGTTTGGGTGGCTACAGGGGAAAGCCGAAGGTGCAACCAGTGCAGCAAACATCCTCCAAACCGATCCCAACAGGCGTCCGTGACAGTCGAAAGGTCCATGCCCATGCGGATCATGACCCCGAGTCAGTCGGCGTCCAGCTTCTGCCATGGCAAAGCTTCGGGTTGAGAACAGGCCACTGGCAAAGAGGCCACTGGTGAAAAGACAGGCGCAACAGCGGCCCTTCATGGCGCTGTTGCACACAATGGCAAAGGCATAGAAACGGTGATGGCGTACATGCGGCTAAACATGGGGTGCTCTTCATTCTCACCCTCAGCCCGGGACTCAGCCTCAACAAAACCACCAAAGTCACGCCTGCTGGAATTGGACACGAGAACCCAACTGTTGCTTAAACATTCATTATACTTCATTCTAAACTCCCCATGCTGTGGAAGGCCCAATAGCCCTCCCCCTTGATGACCACACCATGACACCACGGCAATCTTCAACTCACTAGGCAGCACGCCCTCGAGCTGGCGACGTGGCTCGCGCCGTCGAGCTGGCGGTGGCCGGTCCGGCCTGCTGGGCGTGGGTGGGATCCTGGAAAGAATGCACATCCCCATCCCAAGCGATCACTAGGCTGTGAATCAAAACCCACCCTAATTAGTTGACTCCCAAACCATCAAGAAAATGGAGAGATGTCCACTTTGTATAAACTAGGCTGTGAACAGCCCGAGTTGTTGGCCCAGCGAAAAACTAAACTGACCAGTCGATCAATGGGTCACTTCACCCGTAATAGCTAAAGTTCACACAGAAAGTATCTGTATTCACAAATGTGTAACATATATTATACTATCACATAACTATATACACAAACAAATTATAGGCTTCACCGGCTTCACCTCCACTTTCTACTGGCACGTAATCCCTGCAACAACCAGCTAAAACAACATAAAACAACTTAAACCATGGATCTCCACAAGCACCTTTTACTTCTACCAACCCATTGCCCGTCTTCTGATCAAACAGCTCTCCAAATTCTCAGGCTCTAACTCGCTCATGGGATCTGCTCCGAGAGCGGGCACGGGTGATCCCACCCATCGGCCCATGCAGTGACCATGCTGCAATGAGTTATATAGACCCTGAATAGACCCTCAAATAGATAGAACAGTAACATCCCTTTCAACATGTATTGAAAACCGTTTCCATCTTTGGGGGCAACAATAAAACTTGGACTTGCGGTCCCAAGTCAGTTCGAAAAGGCTTCACCCAGGAACCGGGACAAGGGAACCATCGCCCGATCCTCAGAACTAAGGTGTGAAACAGTCTGGGTCTGTCATCGTCCTAGGCTTTCTGACCCCGGTGAAGCTCCTGAAGGTAGTGTCCTTAGGCTTAACCTATTGAAGATGTTAGATTAAGCTGACTGGTGATAGATATTTATCTCCTCATCCTTCCACCAAGGATGAAAAGTGCCTTGGGCCAAATTGCAATGCGGAAACGCGCCGCCTTGTTCCGCAACGCCAAAGCAACGCCACTCTCAGAGATGCACCAACTACACGCTGACTCACCTATGATTCACTTTTCTTCGCAAGGTTCCGCGCCAGTTTTGCAGCGCCTTTGAGCGACTGCAGCCAGGGAGGCTCATAATTAGTCCTAGCCGCCATTGCCTTAAGGCATACAGTTTCTCAGAGCTGTGCCTGTTTCAACCAACTCTGCGACTATGAAAGGAAACAAATCACAAGCGGTTGACATTGACGAAACGGTAAATGACGGCCAATCCACCTGCATTGAAGGCATCTCTATCAAACTCTGTGTGTCTCCAATTCTTGCAGGAGCAATTGCGGGCTTGAAAACACGCGAACAAACCATTAAATGTAGCATAGCCCAGCAAGCATTATGACAACACATGACAACTGCTTGTCATTGCATATCATTGCTTTCAAGAAGAATAAGGCTGCAAGGTTAGGCCATTGGACGCTAGTAGTTGGCATCATCCAGATGTGTGAACATGTGTTAGGATGTTACATGACCTGCAAGCCCTCTCGTGACCTTGGCAGCGATTTCTGCCAAAGGTGCCAGCTGCATTTGGCGATGCCTGAGCCGTGCCGCCTTCTTGGACAGGACCTCCACCAAGGAAAGGAACGCCGCCCCCCAATATGAAGCCGGTGTGGCACGATCCGGACCGTGGAATCAGTCACCAAATGGAATCTTTGAGATTCAAATGCCAACCTTGCATCAAGAGTATGCCGCCAACGACAACAAACACAAAAACATGTCCTCCCCCAAGGTCTTTTAGTTTGTACTTTCTCGACCACTTTGGCATGAACAAACATTGAAAAACAAACAAAACAACCACTTGTGGCAGTCAAATGTTCATTTTCTGTGCGTGTGTTCCTCTTTCACATGTTTCTAATTTTTTCATGACTATATATGTGTGTTTTCCTGACAAAGCCACATCTCGATCCTAGACCATCGCTTTTTAAGTTTAGGAGTCCATGTCTAGTCCCATTCATGACTCTGATTAGAAATTAGAAATAGCTAAAGAAGGGTCATGCAAGCCGTGACTAGGATTGCTCCCCGGTGGAATCCTGGCCCCAAGGCAGCGGGAAAAGTGGCTCCAGGCCTGTTCGGCTTCTGTAAATGGTTTCGGTCTGAGCAGCTTGTCTGCCGAGATCAGAGGTCGTGCAGCTGAGGTTGAACTAGGAGTCTCAAAAAGGATAGGTGTGTGCTACGCCACCACATTGGGAGGACAACCACCATAGGAAGAGAGTTCCACTGGGGATCATTACCATTCTGCCTCCACATAAAGAGGTGAATGAATATGAGGACCCCAGTGTCACACCCAGCCCTCAAAGTTTCAGCTGTCAGACCCTTCAGAGATGCCGCGAAGGAACTCCTTAGTCACAGCAGTGCTCGCTGATGTTGTTCTGGTGCCCTGTTGCCTATCTTGGTGAGTCGCTTCAATGACACTGCAGTAGTGTGTGCAATCACAAAAACAACATGTCAAGGCAATGCGGGGTATCCGGTACCAAAAAAAACAACATCTCCACAACACTCACTCACTCCTTTTGCACCAAGCCGTTGTCAAAGCAATCAACAAAGTGAGGCAATATGCTGAAGACTCTGGTCAGTGGCGAAAACTTCTCAATAACATGTCTTGAAGTGTCGCAGCCACAGTTACAGCTCGAGTTTCTCCTTTGGGGAATCGGACTTCTTCTCTGTTGCGTTTCACATGTTCTCAGTCACACACGCGATGGAAGTGGAATAGGCCGAGTGCGTAGAGGAACATGCACAGTTTTTACGGGGCGATCCTGGGATGGAAGCCTCTGTAACAAACATGAACCAACCGAAGCGGTTCAAACCATGGGAGACTTCCATCCCATCTCTGAACAAACATGAACAAACCGAGGGAGCGGTTTAGTCTCATACAGGGCTTAGACCCCTGGGAGCGGTTCTGCCCAAGGCCCGACGTCAGAACCGGGCAACACGACTTCGGACACCCCGAACGTTACGACTTCGACTGGGGGCCAGGTGATCGAGGGTGTGTCTTCCAATAGCGTTGTAAACATCGTTTCATATGGTTCGACTAGAATTTTTGATGTAAAAAACGGCATAAAAAGTCAAATGGAAAAGCCAAACAAAAGTCGAAACAAGTCCAAAACAGTCGAAAAAGACAAGTCAAAACACATCATTTTTTTAAAACAACTCGAAACAGTAAAACAAACAATAAAAGGAAAAAAAGTCGGATCTGTGCAACTTGACTTTTTTTGACTTTCTGAAACTTTCTGATTTGACTTGTTTTTGACTTTGACTTTTGGGATTGACTTTTTTGACTTTTAAAATTGAAAACAGGCTCTCTCCAATGTACGGTTTTTATATGTTTTTATAACAATAGCGACATACCCGGTATACCCGACCTGGCCCTGGCTGGGTAGACTGGTCTGGCTCTTCCGAACCTTCCAGCATTGAGAGGCCCGATGTTAATGCCCAAACAATCCATGAGACTGGTATATATGCCGCCCCATTGACCCCTGAAATTAAACCACCCAAATGACCCGAATGTGTGTAAATATGCCGCTCCATGGCCCATGAATATGTAGGGGCCCCATGTCAGACACGCCACGGCCATCTCAGTGGTGCCCGCCAGGTCCAGCACACTACCCTGGCAGCATAGTGCAATCAGGCAAGGTACATAGGTAAGAGTATCATGTTTCAAAACTAGATGAACTATAATTATAGAGCAAGTGATCGGAGGTGAGTTCTTTTCGAGATGCAAAGTAAGATGTCGATATGGTTGATGTATGTTGATGTGTGTTTATCATGCCCAAATGCCTTTAATGGGCCATGCAAGACCGCCGTTCGCTTTATTGCTTGGCATACCTGTGCGACACATAGCTTTCGCAAACCGAACGCCAATTGAGGGGCACAATGCAACTGACATCAAGTGATGCAAAAACAACTTGACTCAGCCCAGTTGGATTCCAGAAAAAGCTCCAATAGCTTTCCAGGTGTTTTTGGTTCCTGGCTTGGCTTCAATCCTCTGCCAAAGGTTGGTGGGGCTTCTCGCAACACCCACTCGGACCCTCTGGCCCACAGTGCCCACCCGTCCGTGCAAAGCACTGGGCTTTGCGTGGCCCCGGTCCTTGGTGGAACCGCTGCGCAAGAGCTTTTGCCGCTGAGGGGTCTTCTCCACGATCTCCCTCGCAACCTGGTGGCACCAAGGCGCAGGGCCGGTGAGGGCCAAGAAGCGCAACTCAAGCACGGCCAAGCATGGCTGCCCTAAAACCCTAGCTGTTGAACAATCCTTAACGCACAAACAATGTCTCTCTATATTTATATATTCAATTATACAAATAGAGATGCATCTAATTTCATTAGAATCTCGTAGTTTGATGCTTTGGATACACATACTTTATCATGCGTTTGGCCATTTGTCACTGCTTAACTGAATAAATTTCCAATGCAGTCTTTCCTCGCACAATGTTCAATCAAGATCTGGCACCACTTATGGCGTCATATGGTTTTAAGTCTTATTTCTGCACATTTGCGGGTCATTCTACCCCCTCTTGGCCCACATACATGCAACTTGTTCCATGCTGCATGCTCAAAGGCACAAATGCCATGCCTCCACGGCACCGCGCATGGAGGCGACATGTAAAACCGTCAGGTCCTGGGCGGCCGGGCGTTGCTTAAGATGGTTTCTTAGACACCAAAAGTAGGCCACCCCGCTGGGAACAACTGCTGATTTACTTTCTCATCTCCAATGAGTGGTCCTTAACTCCTTACAAAAATTCCAGCAAGGGAAGGGAAGGGAACGGAAAGGCAAAGAAGGAAAGGAAAGGAAGGAAGGAGCTGAAGGTCTGGTAAGGTCAATGAGCTTCTGGTAAACATGAATTCGCAGGCTTGGGGTCTGGCAATTGAAAGGGTTCACTACTGTCCCTCTGATTCGGCCGACTTGCCCGCTGGTTCTGGGTCTGGCGAAACACTTTTGGGATCACGGGTCGGGCCACTAGCAAAACACTGGGTGATTCCCATAATTGGCAATCAATGAATTGGTTAAGGGACAATCTGCAGCAAACCAATGTTTTCACCCCCAAAAACTATGGCTTTCCTGCAGATTTTCCTTGAACCAATTCTGGGAGCCAACCAGCCGACTTAAGTTGGTACCTTTCTTTTCCGTGCGGATTCTTGAGCCTAGGTCTATCATCCGAAGATGTTAGGTGGACCATCCGAAGGGGCGTCTCTCGCGAGTATTGGGTCCATATACTTTTTTTTTTTGGTGGATTCTTTCAGCCCAAATGCATTTTGTTGGGCGACATATCAAAACATGTTTCTATGATACATATATATAGTTATAGAACTTGTTCCCAAATGTGTTTTATACCAATCCAACCATGTATGAAATAGGTATATAGTTACATACATTTACACCACTTTAATGATCCTTTTAGTGCCCCCCCCCAATGAGGGTGACCATTCCACACCATGGATGATCTGGGATAGACCTGTGTCATCCACCGCATCGGTCCGCCCCGATATCCACGCGGCGTCGGCTTGACGCAGGAAGGGGTCGGCGCCCGAGGACAGCAGCACCTGGCGCTGTTCAAGTAGCACGGCCGGAGCACGGTACAGGCCGCAACAGGTGTTAGGCGTTCGGATACGTGAAGGATCGTACCAGCGCTATCCTTCGACTCCACACCAATGTCTTGTGTTATTTCAGTGGGGGCTGCTGACAGGATGGCCAACTCCCACTCACCACTCGTTCAAATCCAATCACGTTGGGTGGGGGCGGAGTCTCTAGGCGGGTGCTTGTTCAAATCCTGGGGACGAAACCTGGCCCCCGAATCTGCCGCGGGCCGCGAGCCCCAGAATCTGGTGGTAAAAAATGCACCAAATACCCGTGAGATGGGGACAGGATAGGATAGGACATATATATATATATACATATATTATATATATATATATAAGCCAGGGATTGGGCTGCAAAACCTCATGACCTCAAAGGTGAAGAACTCTAAGTGTTTGGCCTTTGCTTGTTCTTGGCGGGGTGTTATTATATATGTATATATACCTATCACTTCCGAGAGTCTTGGACACTTCTGCCAGGTCCCGGAGGTCTTTGATACGGCGACACCGGTCGCGCCGCCTCCACCATCTCGCCGTGACCCGACGCGGCGGCGGAATGGAGTGCTGTAACCTGGGAGCGGTTCGATCAGCGCTGGGTGGACCCACTCCACAAAGGCCATGGGGACTGGAACCAGACGGGTTGGGAGATGCGGGACAAGAGAGGGATCCATGCTGAGCCCCCGCAGGACAGTCACGGGACTGGTGTTCATACTTAGTTGAGGATTCCCAGCCCCTCCAGTCGCCAGTCACTTGCTGGTGCCATCAAGTTTGAGGTTTGGGGGATGAAGCCAGTATAGTATAAGAGGCCTCCATCTCCCTTCTAAAGTTTCCTTCAAGGAATCCAAGGAACTCCCAGAAGAACAAATCGCCCCAAGCAACTGGTCTCTGATGATCTTCTGGCGAGGTTCCTAGATCAAAGGCTCCCTGATGACTATATTGTGACATAGCATGACCACAGGGAGAACAATCAGGTCAAACACCTAGGCTCGTGTAGACCCTCCTCCTCTTGCCCATGCCTTTTGCAAAATCCCTCCAGTTCTCTTCGCCCAACTGCTCCATTCTCATCTTTGATGTTGGGATTGGCCCTGCGCGCCAGCAAGAGTTCGACTACGCCTCGATGGCCCTGATGGGCTGCATTCTGCAAGCACGTGCGCCCCTGTGCGGCCACGTTATGGAGATCTGCCTCAGGTGACGAGATAGCTTCGGTGGGTTGAGTTGAATCAGGTTCAACAGGGTCCCAAAGACCAGTCTTGAGTCATGAGAATGTCATAGGATTTTCTGGGATAAAGTAGCTGCGATGGCGTGGTGTTCAATTGGATTTGTTCATCTGATTGTTTATCAATGCCTCAATCAGGCAGATCTTCACATCAGGCTTCTGACCAAGCACTTGGTCCCTTGCAGCAGCGCTTTCCATCCTCCCTCGTCCCGGAGTTTGCGGCACATGGAAATCATGGAACAGGAACTTTGGTTTTGGGGGGTTCAAGATGTTCAAGCCATGGACTTTATCGCACCAACACCGCGAAGAACACGGCTGGTGTCGATGGATTGTGAAGAATTTGACCATTGCAGCGCACAAAAAGCAAGCCCCGCCTTGTAGTCTAAAAGCATCTCACAAATCAGCGTCTGCCCATTGCGGGCTGCTTGATGTAGAGGTGTCAGCTTGAACTTAGTCTTGGCCTCCCAGGCAGTCCCCAGTGCTCACTCTGCAATGTTATTGTAGAAACCCCGCAAGTCCAAGTCCAAACAGTTTCCGGCCTCCAGATTGGCCTTCGACTCGACCAGAGCCTCGCGAGCCCCAGGCGCGAGCTGGGCATGGCTGGGCCGGAATACCACATGGTGTTCAAACGCGGAAGGCTGGACTCCACCTGGATAGGAATCTTCCGCCAAAGTGTTTTGGGATCCTAAGTAGGATGATCCAAATTCCCAACTTTCATCGACAAAGGAAACAGAAATGCAACAAATTAAGTGTTCCTTAGCCTTTCTTTCCTCCCAGCGACCATCTTTGTCTTTTCCTCGGGGTATTTGGTTACACCCCAAAGCCCGACGAGACGGCGATTCGTCGCAATCGGTCGCAAGAAGACTTGGCTGAATTGCACCGATGGATGGGAGATATTGATTTATGATTTATGTGTATATTGGGTCTATCCCACTACCTGTAACAGTGGATAATGATGGTTAGTAGAGGCCTTGTCCAAAAATAGTAACAGGACAATGTATATATGATTTATGGAGATGTATTGGCTGTAGGCTGCTGGCTGGACCATACGGTAGCGAGAAGTTAAAAACTGATCTATTTGACCCTGGAAGTCAAAGACCCCAAAAATCGTGATCCGACGAACGGTGAGTCTAGGAAGTTCCTGAACACTTCAGTGGGTCAACATATAGTCGAACTGGACGTACCTACGGGAAATTCCGAGAACCTGAGTGACCTCTATTTTGGGCCACCAGCCACCAAAAATATGGTCTTTTCCATTCTTTTCCTATCACTGCTATCAAGGTGATGGAGGGATGCGATATATTGGATGGATGGGAGCTCTTGAGGCCATGCCGCCACCAGCGACCCTTCCGGATGGGCAGTGTTTCCCGCAAAGCCCACCACATGTTGATTGATCCCACACCATGCGTTGCAACGATCATCCTTGACTGATCACGGGAACAAACAACAGGAACAGGAGTTGGTAGGATCTTTATATGTGTCTCTATCACTGTCCTCAATGGTAACCCTGAAACCTTCTCTCGGTCTTTTCTGGAAGGGCATGGAAATCCTCTTCTTTTCACGTCTGGCATGCACCTATGTCTTCAATCCTTTTCAATCGGCCCTTCTACTTCTTTCCCGTCGAAAGACCTCTGGAGGTCGCTACCCACCCCCCTCGCTGCGCACCTCTACAGCCTCCGTGTGCCCAAAGTATGCGGCCACATGGAGGAGCTGCCAATGCACCAAGCTAGTTCCTGAGTTCGTCAGGTCAAAGGCCTGGGGGGATCCTACGAGCCTGTGACTAGTCACAGTCCACCTTTTGCACTAAGGCCCCATACCAGAATGGCTTTACAATGTTTTACATCACTTTGAATCTCGATATTGTTGCTTACTAATATATAAGCATTCTACTTTAGTCCGTTTATTGTCAGAGTAGCATGGTGAAATATCTTCATCTTCAGTGGTGGGACTGATGTGAAGCCTCATGTCCACCGGTACCCATTCACAAACTGGCCAATCCCCGATTCCCCAACTCCCCTTCTGCGACGTGTTTTGGAGGACCAGTTATCAACTTGCACCGTGTTAATATAGTCTTGAGTCGCTTGAGTCATATCTCGAGATGAGGACCGTTTCCCCATGCTCTGTTGGACTGGGCGCCCACCAACCCACCAATGGGAACCGCCCGAGCGGCCGCTGCGCACCGCGATCTCCACCTTCACCACGTCGATGTCCCGTTCCCGAAGCAGTTCCAGGTCGCGACGCCCGAAGGGTGCGCCCAAGCCCAAGTATCCTCGGGCACGACCGGGCACGAGGTAACCAGCAACCAGTGGAATGGCCGTGTGGGCGTCCGGTAGGCAGATCGAACACATGCGGCTTGGCCGTGTTGCTGGCAGGTTGGCCGCGTGCTGCACACCATCTTTGGGTTCCAAACACATCTGATCTCCATGTCATGACAACAACATCGACACTAACCTTGAGGAGGATTTGGCTGGTCCTACATCTGCAATCAATATTGGTTATAGCAGGCTATAGCATATATATGTTGCCCGCAGTGTATCTTTGTGGACTCCGTTTTGAAGCGAAAGGCGACCACGTTCGCCTCGGTCCCTCAGCTCCTCCCGTCCCGACGAGCGATGCCAGGAGCCCCATTCGTAGCGTCCTTACGGGTTTGTTGTCAGGTCTCGAAGGGCACTCTGGACATCCTCCTCCTGCAAACTGGTTTGATATAGAGGAGCTGCCAGCAAGCTGCGGATCGTCAAGTCCTGCTTTTTTTTTGAGCGGAAGGAAGCATGGCCGAAGAGCTCAACAACTTGCAACCACACACTCCAAACAACAGATTTTCAAGTTGAACCTTGCAGCAGAAAATGAAGGGCTAAGAGCTAAGAGATGCTAAGAGCTTCGATATAGCATGATATAGCCTTGCCGATCTAGAAAACATGAGTGCATACTGTCCAGCTGCGCCGGCAGGAACATCTCCAAGTCCAGACTTCTTACTGCGTTACTGTATCTTATTATATAATACTATATATCGGTATTAATCTTGAATACATATGGTGAATCATGGTCACATAGTCCCCCGACCGTCAGAGCCAAGGCACAAAGCGTTTGAAGGCATTTGGGTGGAAGAGCTTCTTCTCCTTGGCATCAAAAGGGTCGAAAGCTCATCCGGCCAGATCCGGCCGCGTCCACAGGTGTGGTGGACCCCTTTTTGGCGCAGGGGTTGAGGTTCAAAAGGTGTGACGCCGCCATAGAGGCCGTACATGATCGTGATTAAACCAATACACACACAGATATATATATATATATAATATTTTTTTTTTTGTGTATATACATAACACACACACATATATATATATGTATATACAACGATACCCCCTCCCCCCCCAAAAAAAAAGCACATTCTATTTAAGGATCCTTTTCAAAGCTCAGCTTGGAGCAGTTTTCTCGGGGCAAAACCACAGCCCCCATGAACCCCCAACGTATCGCAAGCATACCGGGCCCTGCACGATGGGCAAAGCCAAAGTCATCCAAAGTCACATAGTGTTTCTCAAATCCTAACCCCACTGCAATCCCTCACCCCGGCCATGGGTGCCCTTGATGTGGCTGCCAAGATCGGCAAATGGGTGGTTCCAAACCGCTCTAAAACCCTGGTGGATAGGCCTTCTGTTCATTTGTGGTGGGAAAAACCGGGGTCCTCCGGTGCCATGGCCGTGCAGCGCTCTCCACGGCCTGTCTTCGACCTCCCCACGGCCCTTCAGCACGGCCACGGGCCACGGAGCCGCGCGCCGGGCCGGGTTCCGGTTCGGATTCGCCAGGTGTCCCGTGCGATGGCCAGCGGCACCTTGCGGAGCTGCGGATCGGCCACGCGGTGCCAAATGGCGTACCTCGGTCCCACGGATCCGGGAGGTTGGGACGACATGGAAGGTGGGGAGGTTGGTAGGTGGGACATGGAAGGAGGGGAGGTTGGTGGTGAGGGAAGAGGCAACAAGAAGACACCCACTCTCGCAAACTACTTTTAGCCTGGTTGTCACCAAACTAGGTGAAAAGGAGCTCCTTCGAGCTAGGTCTTTCTGGCAGGCTTTGGTAGCTTTTGCTGTATCTGTGTTTCTCTTGCTGTTTGTCGGTGGTGGATGGCCTTTGAAACATGTCGCCCTTGGGCTACTTCCCAGGAGCAGCATTTGAAGGGCTCACAACAAGTTAAAACAGAATCATTAATAATCAGTGCGTTGGTTCCGAGATTTATAGGGGGAACCTGTTTGGACAAGGAAATCCTAGCCATTAAAAGAATGGTTGACTGTTGACCTGGTTTTGTTTGTATAATTTCTAGTAAATCGATGGCTCTTTGGCAAGAATGATTGAAACAATGGTTGTTGGAATCCCAGGAAATGAAACACGGTGAGAGTAACCGATTGACGTTTGTCAGTGAGCCTCGCTGAAGGCTGTACAAAAGTGGCATGCCGAGCAGCCTGTCATCTTCACTGCTGGACTTGGCCTGGCCAGTCTCAGGCAGCTGCTCCAAATGCCCCGCATTGAGTCACGTTACGTTATTGAGGAGATAGATAGCTGGCACAACATGTCTACATTTCTTTCAGAGTAGATGGCACCGGCACCTCAAGATGTCTTTTAGATGGGGGTGCATACATACATGTCGGGAATATCCTAATCACTGTCACGATGGAAGTATTATGAAGTATAATGGTTACTAAAGGCCTTTCTCTAAAATAGTGATCATTGCTTTCCGACTCTTACAGGCATATAATTTGACACCTCCCAAAAAATATATGAACCACCATCTTGGGCGAACCATGCACAATTCACATGGTCGCCCGATATGTCGTTCCACCACTTCGGGCACAATTCTTCGCTGGCGTTCCAGTCTGGAAGGGAGGCGGTCCCGGCGGTCCATCCTTCGAAACCACCCCGAACGCGCCTTGGCTGCTGATATGTCCTCCAAACCTGAAGCCACTCGCTGGGTCAATTCCATCAAGACACGCCTGGGAAGGCGCACAAACGCGAAGGGGCTGCGTCCAAACACCTTGGGCATGAGAATCCAATCCCGCAAAAGATCGCCGAGAATCCAGCATGTTGCAAGGTTCGCTGCCCCAGCTTCGGAGCGAGTCCGGAGCGAATGCACACGCATGCGGTCTATAACAAGTCACATGGTCAATGACCCCAAACATGGGTTTCATGAGCATCACAGACCCAACAATGCAAACGATATACATGCAGGATGGATATGGATGGCATATGATGGCATGGTCCCTTCCTTTGGGGGTGTTCGTATACCATGTTAGTGAGTCAGAGCGTATTCTGTTGATGCTTGAGGTCCCCATGCCTTCTGCGATGTTTTTCGGTCTTATCAACCCATCCCATCCCATACCCCGCAGGGTGGTAAGGAGGGGTCCGAATGAATGCATGTGCCCGCCTCTGTTCCAAATCCATTTCAGCAGCCAGATTGGCACCCATGGCGCCCTTGGCGGAGATGAGGTGGAAGTCCTAGGCAGCACGTCGGGTACGAAGATGCTGGGCCACTGGTACGCCAGGATTAAGGAGAAGTAGGGTTCAACATGGTTGAGTACTATTCAACCCCATGCAAAACGCCATTGACCATCTACCCTTCTGGTCACTCTATGGTTATATATAGCACTTGTTCCGTCTTGTTCTCACATCTCCTTGCGTTGCTCGGAGCTGTTCGCTCTTCCCTCTTCTTCACCGCTTAAAAGCGGTCGCGAAGGCGCCTTGTTCAAGTCTGTGAGGCGCTTCACCTCGAATAGGCACCAAATGCGCGTGAAGGGCTGCACCTTTTCATCCAAGATCATCACCTCAGCTTTTCACATCTTCAGGATTCCAGGATCACAATTTTAGTTAAATGAGCAGTTGGGCAATGTTCTGACATGTGCGGACATCTACTTTAGCATTTAACCCGGCATAGGATCGGACATGGCGTTGTGGCCATGTGAAGCATGACACATGTTGCATGCATGAAGTAGCGTGTATTCTGACACCTGCTCTGGCATGTAATCTGCATATTTGTTCCGGTATTTGGTTTGTTCTAGCATCATGTTGGACAGCGGGGCAAAGCACAAAACCGGCGCATGATGAATGTAAGGTTCGGCTTTTCCGCAGCACCTAGCTTGTGCCCGCTTTCTCTGCTGGGTATCGGTACAGGGCCGGGGTCCAGCGCGAGACGCACTGCTCGCAGACTGGGGATAGTGAACAGTGCTGAGGTCTAGCCTAGCAAGCAGCTAGCTCTCCCATGGAGGGCCTTGCAGCACCCCGGTCACAGGGAGACGATGTAAACACAAGGCAGCGATGGGGGGAGGATGCGGTGAGGAGAAGGAAAAAGAAAAAAGAAGGAGAACCGCTGACGTACAATCTAGAGACCCCGCCTGGCAAGGTGGGGAGAAGGAAGTGGGCTATTTCGCAGACCTACGGGTTGGTCGGGAGTTAAGCTTTTTCAAGAAGTTAAGGTCCAACCCAGCTTTCATAGCATCAATCAAGGTGTTCCAACAACTGATCAGCTTCAAATGGGTTCAAATCATTAAATATTTTTGAAAGATCTTAACATGTGAAAATATATCCGTTCCTCTGTCTACCCCTCCCTATCGGCCGCATTTAGTGCTGTGGATAGGCCCACTGGGCAACCTGTTCCATTGTATTTGGGAATATGTCCACTTCCCAAGTGAAATTCTCATTGTACCTGGTAGTAAGGATTTGATGGCTATTGAATTGGCCAATTGGAGAGCGCAAACACCTAGAATGATTTCAGAACAGCAAGCACACTGCTATTTGTAGCCTCCAGGGCCTATACATTTTGACTTCAGCTTAAATATTTTGATTCCAGCTTAATTCGTCGGAGTTCGTCGGAGGGCAGCTTGGGGCTGTTTTCAGCTAATTTCTTCACGTGAAAATTCAGAGGCGCAAGTGCAATTTTCATTAGAAAATACACCAAACTTGCTTGTTCAGAGCTATTTTCAGGTGGTTTTGGCCACACCAACAGCCAATTATCACGAGCAAAAACTTGAAAAACACAAGAAATTTAAGAGTTTTAAGGCCAAGTTCGTCGGAGTTCGTCGGAGTTCGTCGGAACTCCACTTTAAGCCCGACTTAGATAGGACTCAGACTCCCCTGATTTAAATATATTTGATACGTAGTAATCCAGGGAAGTTTGCATGGAAGTCTTGGAAGACCTTTACAAATTGAAATTCTATCTTAAAAGTATTGGAGTGAGTCCCTCCGTCCAGAGCAAACATATGGCCTCGAAGGATCTGGCTTTTACTGCTCACTCAATCCAGAACATTTAGTGGCAGACCACGTTTGACTCACCTGGATGGATCCTTTCCTGTAGGATACCCGTAAATTGTAAAGTTTTAAGTATTTCCAAACGGAAATTGATGTCCAGCTCCCCAAAAGCCTTATTTCCATCACGCAAATGTGGTCCACTGCTTAAAGTTCTGAAAACCCTTAAGTTCCGACGAACTAAGCCTCTGCGAAATAAGCCAGAAGGAAGCAATGATTTTATGCTGGGTCATCGTGCTCTATGACTCAGGAATGGCGCAAAGCATAGCGTGGTGTGCATGAAAGCAGCCTTGAAGCCTAAAGGATCCTAAAGGTGCCAAAAGCATCCTACAGACTCCCAACTGTCCTCACCCGACCCCCATTGCAGCCAAGCGGCTGCCCCACAGCTGGATTGCACCAACGCTGCATTGAAAGGACCCTCCTCTGGAGAAGAGCCCACCTCGTCACCTCATGTGGCTCTGCAACTGGTGTGGCTCAAGAAAGGGTCATACCATGTGAGACCTGCAGTATCCAGATGTATCCAGTATCACCTCCAAGTGTGCCTAGCAAAGGAGGCAATCCTCCAAAAAAGGAGCATCTTCAACATTCCCACACGCACCGAATCGGCGGGTGCAGGTCACGCCCTTCCACTCGGCTAGGTTGTCCACCGGTCGAGTCGAAGAGTTCGATTCTCGTCGAGAGGCCGGGACGGTGTTGGTTCAAAGCCATGAGGCAGATCCAGTAGACCTGGGCAGCCGCAGAAGACGAGGACCGCAACGTTTGGACCCAGTGGCCAGCGGTTGGACGTGCCGCCACCGCCTGTGGTGCTGTGGCAAGCGGTTTTGCTGTGTTTTTGGTGCCGCAAGCCTTGAAGGTGGGGAAGTCGCAAATCAGCTTGGGGACGAGCTATCAGCTCTTTGGGAGTCCTTGGACGTCCCCCCAAAAAGGGAACGGGTTGCCCGGTGGCCCTCAAACAGTGCACCAACAATGTCACTTCCAAGAGCTGGGTCTCAGATTCTTGTCTTCACACATGGGTGTCGGTGTGCATTAGAACCCCCAAAGACCTCTGGGAAAATCGATGACAAAATTCAATTACATAAATCCATTGGTTGGGAATTGTCGTGTCTGATGTCAATAATGACGTCGTGTCACCATGTGTCACCCATTCTGTATTAAACTGGGTGCCCCCCAATTCTCTCTACAAAATGGCAGAACATAGACATACTGTAGCTACAGATTTATAGAATTACATTTTCTCCTGAAACCACGCTGCCTAAGAAGCCTTTCCAAATGGTCCAAAAAAAGTCCAAAGCTCGAGAAACGGGGCTTTCTTCCATTGAGACCATCAGAACATGTCTACAGAAACAAAGCTTTCTGAGGCTTTCTGAGAAATTATTGTCTAAATATGTTTACCATTGTTTACCATTGAGCCATCATTGAGCCTTAGAACTCATTCTACGGGAAATGGTCAGTCTGAAAAGCCCTCGAGCTCGAAAGACAGGGCTGGTGTATACAATGAAGCAACATCTTCATAAAATGCTCACCACAAGGTCATCACAAGGTCTCTTGCAGCTGCAACTTGGCAGGCCCTGACGCCACGAAAAACACACTGCTTTCTATGGGCCCAACCTTTCAAATCCACACCAGGATGGCTAAGAGGCCCCACACGATGCAATCCAACACACAGCAGGGTATGACACCAACACCCCCTGCATCCCCCTGCTGACTCGTAGAGGTGAAGCGCCGGAAGCACAACAACCCCATCCAAGGAGCCATGTCGTTCATGCGAGGCTTCCTCAGCCGAACGGGCTAAACTGGATACCTCCGAAGGAGCTTGATCGAATGAACGGGACACAAGTGGTAAATCATGGTAAATCAAAGGGGGAGCATTCAAGTCGTGCGATGAGTCAGACCTGCTTTCTGAGCGGAAGCTGATCGACCATAGAGTGGCTAGTGGTCGACCATGGTCTCGCAACAGTCTTTTGGACATGACAATGCTGTTGGCATTGTCCTCACATTCACTCTACTTCAGGACGCTACTGGGGCAGCACAACTACCTATCAACATCACCATTTGGACAATGGAATCCTCATATTGGACCTATGGATTCATCACATCCTGTCGTTTCTGTTCATGATTGATCGCTTGGAAGGAGTGAGCCACCTACTTTGCAGTGACTTTGTATTTCCTGTGGGGCTTCGCCGTGGCTTCGCCATGCCAACTTGAAGATCCTTGCGGCACAAACGAAGCAAAACCCAAAGATTTTCTTTGCAACCCAATGGCGAGATCTGCCAGTAGACTTGCTGAGACCACACACGCAGGGCTGCACAGGTGTCCTGCAAGTTGTCGTGTATACAAGCTGTGACATGCTTTGACCAAACACTGCAACATGTGCAAGGACCGTTTTAGGCTGCAAACCGGGAAGTGCTCTCAAGTTCTGACTGAACATCTCCCGGAAAAGGGTAAGAATCAAATGATTCAAATGCATGTCAATCTCAAATCCTTGAACCTGCCAAGCAGGATGAGTCAGGTTGTGTACGGGGAAAGTCATCCTTGAGCGTGTGAATCTATTATGGATCTAATGATGCAGGATGAACAGTCAAACGAATCGACAACATTCACAACTTACTCATTAGCTCACCAAAGGTCTGGCTGGTTCTAGGGTGGGAATGAACATGCACGAAACGGTGCTCTCTCTCTCTCTCTCATGCCCCTAGCCTCGCTAGCCTGCTCATTCGACTGAAAGAGTTTTTAATTTCTCCATGTGATTCTCGTGAAATTAGGAACTTCATGCTCCAATTTCCGAAGACCCTGGGACCATCCGAATGGCGGTCCCATCACGACGCAATGGACTCGTGGTGCCTGAAAGGGATGACCCCAGAAGTGGGAGACGAAGTAGTCGACCGCCAAGCCCTCCTTGGAACCGCGACACACGGCGGACGCTCCAGCGGTCCGACCACCGGTGGTTGGACCCTTTGAGTTCTGAGCGGGCGAAAGCGACACTGTCCCATGGGTCAACATGGGTGAAGACCTGCGACCAGCCAATTCGGATGGCATGACCGGACCTACATGGGATTCGGATCTTCCGTCTATGCCAGGTTCATTCCTGCCTCTTCATCCAAACCAGCCAGAAGGCAAACAATGGTAATCCCCGCTGATACCTATAGCCTTGTGTGAATCGAAAGGATGTGCGAACTGCGGTGCCCTTCAGAGTCGAAACCACAGAGGGACAAAGACAGGCCAGTTGCTAAACACGTGCCTGAGAAGGAAGTTGCAAACATGCGAGGGTATCAGAACAGCCCCGGTTCGAAACAGAACATTGTCCGAAGCCCGCCTCCAGGTCACTCAAAGGTATAGGGCAGCAGAACAATAGTTATACCAGTTATACCCAGGACACGCCGGACGCGCAAAGTTGATTTGATGCGCTTTGAGGACTTGTTCTAGGCTCTGAACCCACCAACAAGCACGAAACGGCTCCAGCACGGTTCAGAGGTCCACCACGGTGGAACAGTGGGAGAAGCACGAAAAAAACAAAAAAAGAGGTCCGGACCTGGTGTGTCTTCCTCAAACTCACTTAGAAAAACCAAAAAGGGTAGGTGGGTGGACTTTCTCTTAAAGAAGCTCCTTTCCCCAACACCCCAAAAAAACAACTCTTTGGCTCATGTTCTTCGGTTTCGCTCAGTTAGCGACCTTTGACCGCTGCTCATCCCTGTGCCCATCCGGTGCTCATCCGGTCAAGTCTCTGGGTTCATCAGCTCGGAGAAGGAGCTCTCATGGCTGGCCATAGGCATGCCAGCAGCCCTCGCGGCAGAAACCCAGCTTGCAACAGCCTCCTTTTCAACTCGTTTTGGTGTTCCTGTATCATCCTGTATCTAGACTCAGGTTGGTGAAACAACGGTGTTCCTTGTTGTTCCTTCATAGGACCTTTGTCGAGCTCTGTTTTTCACTGCGACGGTGACTGCGTCCTTTGGTGCAAATCATAATCGGGCGTTCGGCCACTGAACCGCTTGATCCCAATGCATCCCACATGCAGCAGGGCAGCCATCATCCAACCCCCCTCACAAACCATTGCCTCTGCATGTCCTTCGGCACTTTCTCTGCGGGCTGTGGTGTGGTGCTGGGCATGATGACCCAGCGATTGAGCGCATAGAGGTTCGTCTCCATCGCCTTGAATTGGCGGCCCCCAGGAAGGCGGGAACCAAAAAGAATCTTCCCCACGATTGCTTGGGGATTCACTTATAGGATCTTACAGGGAAGAACAAATTCACCAAATCCGTGAAACCGAGAAAACCATCCAACAGAACCTCTGGTCCCCCCTCTGGTTCTCCCCACTCCAACAGAATGCCAAGGTGATGAAAACGCCCAGCTTGCCACGCAGCAACATGACAGGTGCTACGTGGCTACCATTCTTCGGCGGCGTTTGTGTGGCAGGTCAGCACATGGTGCCCAGCTGCAAGCACAAAAAGATGGTCTCTGCCAAGGAACGAAGCATTTCCGCCGGCAAATGGCTTGCCTTAGAAGCCGGGCTCCGTGGTGCATGCTAGATCCAAGCGATCGTGCAACGGGATCCTGTTATAGCCAAGTGGCTCGTTCTGGGCATTAAAGTTATCGCATTGCTGCTGCAACCATCCACTGGAGATGAAGGTCTCATAAAGGCCTTCCACTTGCTCCATGCGGATTCCTGGCATTTCAGAAAATCAGCGGAGTTCCCCGTTCCATTCACTTCATGTTCATTTCCAGTTGGGTATCCATCGACCGTGGTTGCCACAGCTCTTCCACTAACCGTCACTCACCGTTATCGGAAGGCCATTCATTCCCTCTCCCACTGATCATGCGCTTTGGAAATCTGGAATGTGGCTAAGCATGGGTGCCTCAGTCAATTGTGGAGGGAGTGCTGTGTTCATATTGGGGTCAAACTTATCAGAACACCCCCAACGCCGCCCCAGCTACGCCTCGCCGCGAGTAGGGCACCGTGCGCGGGCCGCGCATGGAGGTCGGAGCGCTGCGAAGCTTGGCATCCAAGAGTTTCCCAAAGGCATCGAAGCTCAGCGTAGGGCCATCCATCCAGGCACTGCGAAGCGTAGGGTTTTTCAGCGAAAGACGGCACCGCCGAAGAGTCGACGGTCTGGCGACGCGGAGGGCGACGGACACCTGAAATCCGGAGTGATCATGGAAGTGGATGGCATGGCCCCGTGGATGACGATGTTCCGAAGACCAAGCAGGTGGTGGTAGCATCCACTTCCATGATTTCAAGGAGGGTAGGTCAAGCTTGGCCGCCCTGGTGGGTGGCCTGGTGGATGCCTTCAACCTGTGCTGGGGCGCGCCTTCAGTCCGATGGTCCAACCGAAGAAACGATCGTCCACTAAAGCAATGCTGGTTGAGGCCAGGAGTTGACTAATTCTTGTTTTTTCGCCAGAAACTTCTCGCACATGGCCTGCTTACTATGGACCTTGTGGAGTTTTTCCTGTCCTTTGTACTAAGGCCTTTTTCAAGACTCGCCCTCCTTTCGAGACTCGTCGGGACGAGTACGTCCGCGCTGGTACTCCAACAGGGCCCCCCAGTTGCCCTAGGATTCAATTCACCATTCATTTCATATGATTTGGTAGCCTAACTTAACCGAACAACCACGAGAACAACCCTTATCTTACTAAGGTGTTTACGCTACAAGACCAGATCAACCATGTGAAGAATGGTCTTCAACTTCCAGGCTTGTAATCCTCTCCAGGCGGGTGTTGCGACGGAATGGCCTGAGGTAGTCCAGGGAGGGGAACAACCCGAAGGCATTCAAGGCAAACTTCACCTCGTGCAAATCCAGTTGGCCATTACCGTTGGTGTCGCAGCAATGGAACACCTCGCTTGGCATACAGGAAAGCAATTGGTCGAACAAATGAATACGAAACCTGAACTCTTGTGGCCTTGCAAGTGCTCCTTTTTTTGGCCTTCGGACCTTTCTTATCTTTTCTTTCTTCGTTTCTCGCTCTCGCACTTTCCCTTCGGACCTCACCTGCTGTTTTGAGGACACCGGACAGCGCTTTGGCGTCCAACGCGTGGTCACCGTCACGCCCGAGGAAACGCCGTTCCGCCGAGAGGCCGTCTCCGGCTCGGAGAGGCTGTCATTGAAATTCCGTGGCGTACGCGGTTTGGGAGACCTGTCGGGTCGGGTGAAGATCCAAAAATGCCGACCGATCACATGGAAAACAACACATCTGGCAAGCCAGAGAACTTTGGATCCTTCAGATCTTTGACATCATGCCTGCATAGTTACGGGACATTGAGATCCTTTGACCTTCCTTTCCTTTCATCGGCCAACGCCGCATGATGGAGCATGAGACACTCGCCCTCAGTGACAAACCCCTGCAAACTGGCACGTGACGTGCCGTTGTTTCACAGTCGCTTCAGTGACTTCACGTTACGAATGTCTCTAGAGACTCTAGTGCTACAAGGGTGGCTCCACAATCACTTCACGTTAAAGACCCAAGGTGCTTAATTGAGACGTTGCATGTGCTCAAAGCTCCCTTGGGCAATTCCTGCGGCGCTTGCAGTTCGACGTGGACAGCCTAGCTTACACCCAACGACGCAACACAACTTGCAAGTCTATTGCATTATGAGCTCAAGGCGGGTAGCGGTCATATCATCAATCGACTAGGAAGTCATTCATCATCCCCGCAATGTTTGGTAGCTGGTTGCGAATCCGTCATTGACAAGCCTTTGCCACTCCATCTATCCCAAACAGTGTCCAGATCGTACTCCACAAGCTCGTAGAGCTCTTCCCTTGCTGCTGAGCTTGCCGCCGCCTGAGGTTGGGCCGTGCTCACAATTGCATCACGGACGAGTTGCTGCAGGGATCCTTCCTCCAACCCCGGGCTTCCCCTTGGATTTATGACCCCCCCCCAGGAACCGGAACAAGAATCATGAAACTCATCCCCCAGGCTTGGGGGTTGACCCATAGGGTAGAAATCATCTGTGTAGAAACACCTTGGCCTCTACAGCTCCTCGTGCTTGCCGTGAAGCACCGCACGGGCTGGGCCTCCATCCCGAGCTCCACCACGATTTGACCATCTTCCACTCGTGCCAACGAGGCAAACTTCTTGGCCCAGCAGGGCAAATCGCCTCCGCCAATGGCTCTAGGCCGTTAGGGTCATGGTGAAGGTGGTCTGAGGATCCCTGTGAGCGAAACTAAGAAATCTACCAGGGGAAAGGATCAAATGATCCTGTCAGTGGCGGAAGATGTGTCACAGTGTCATAGAGAGGGGAACGTGCCTCCTGTTGCCAAGAAGCCTATGCCTATGCACTGACCTCACAACGTAGAAGCTGTCTCATGGTTTCCATGTGTGCCCCTGCCATTGGATTCAGCCTTTACAAAGCATTGAGACCGACGACCCCACCCCACACACACGAGACACAATATCACACAGCGGTTCTCCAGGATGTTGCCTTGTTTTTAAAGACCGCAGCGGACCCAAATGCAAAAAGCAAAACGGACCCATTGTGCAGCAAAAGTTGCAACTCATCGACCCCCAATCTACAGCGCCTTCCAACCAAGCCAGCTGCTCGGCCTCGGACCATGCTCGGAAGGCTCTGAGAGGTCACCACGAATGCTTTCAACGAGTGCTTCAAGGATCTTCAAGGTGAAGCGAGTCTTGCATTCCAACAGCCTCTTTTCCTTCAAAAGAACCTGGCTGAAGACCTCTAGGCTGATAGGCTTCACCTCTGCCGTCAGCCGCATCGCTGTGTCAAGGTGCTGTAGTCTGCGCTGGGATTGGCAGCCGCAGCTGGTTGGGGCGTGGAGAGGGTGGAGAGCTGCTGGTGGGGGAGACGGCCGACCTGGCGCGAAGTTCAGGTGCACCCCGCGAAAAGTTCGGGTGCACAGGTGCACCATGCACCATCCACGCCACCATCCATGCACCCAGTGTCTGAAAAGCGAAGAACATCCAACGTGGTCGAAACAGGAAACTTAACCCATAAACACCACCGCCATGAATTGGGGTCAGGTTTTTGCGGACGATGCAGTTTGGTGCGGGTCAAGATGCAAAAGATCTAAAATCAAGGGAAGGATATGGAGTGGTGAACATCCCAGTGTGGTGCTGTTTTCTTGATGTTCACATAGCTGGAAGGAAAGCCCGCCTGGGTGATGCGTTGGGGCTCTGAGGGGTCTTCGCGCCGGGACTTGGAGGAGTCTTCGCCCACCTGAGATGCAACGCTCGTTTTGGATCGTTTTGAGACTTGTTTTGGTCTTCGCGCTGACCATCTCATTCGTTTCGCCGCTTCGCCCCTGCCAGAGCTGCACCGTTCGCTTCTGTGCCAACGAAGCTTCACCATGCCCTGCCCGAATTTTACCCCAACAAATGTGAGGAGGCCAACAATGAGAACCCCGGGTCTAACTGGGTGCTCGGACGGTGCCAGCTTCTTTGGCTTCGAGGGTAGTAGCAGCAAAGGACTGGACTTCGGCGCCTGGAACGGTCGGGAGCCCGTCCTCCTGGTAGAGAGTGCGCCCCGAGAGTCCATCAAACAAGGAGGACTAGAACACTTGGAAGAGGCTGGTGTTGATGGCATGTTGATGGCATGCCATATGATGCCATGATATGCCATGTATAATCATGTGTATATGAATGTGCGCGTTTGAAGCAAGCGTTCTGTGATGTTCTGTGTCCCGACTCCAGTCCTTCCTTTCAACAAGTTCCTCCCACCTTGGACACAGGTGGACTCAGGGCACCAGGCAGTCGCACCTCCTGCCGCAGTGGCAAAGGGCATCGCTACGAACGGAGCAAGGAGCTACGAACGGCGCGCTCCTGGCATTACTATACGTAACTAAGAAGCTATGACTTCGCCGTCTGGAACATCAGTCTGGAACATCCAGTTGGAACAAATGGGCGTGTTGGTGCCAAATGAGACGGATGGTGTTGGTCTGTTTTGATCTATTTCCCCAAATCTGACGACGCCCTCTTTCCTGCTTCAAACGCTCTGCCCAAACTACCAGGGTTCGGGTAAAGGCGTCTGCGGAAAAGGTTCGGCCCAATCCCATCATTCAGAACCTCCCTCTCCTATCTCTTACTGCTCTGTTTTTCCCACTTCACCCACGGAAAGGATCAGAAAAGGGATGCACATGGATGCACTGTGCCTTCTTCAAGCAATCCACACCCACACCCCCTTCCGCGGCGTCGCTGGAATCGCTGAGAACTCCGCCCCAGTTGAAACCGAGCGAGCCTTAATGAGCCTTACAATCACATGATATGGATATATATATATACAGTATATATCCAGAAATAGCCATGCGGATGGCAAATGTGTAGCGGTGCGATGCCGTGACCTCTATTTCGATGCCTTTCTCCAACGCTTCCTTCTCCTGCTTGCGGGTGCTGCAGCTGCAGACTGAGATGAGGAAGCGTCACCATTTTCAGTTTGGCTGCCAATCATAAGCCAGTTGATCTTTGAAGTTTCTGGCACACCGCCCACACTTCATCTAGATTTGAAATTCTGTGATCTGCTCCTTCAGCAAATCTGCAATCGTCGCTTCTTCTTCTTCTTGGGCCTGCTGATAGGGAACCCGACGCCACAAAGAACCGATTCCCAGTAGATTTCTCCACTTCGAGCGACAATTCCAAGACCTCTAGCTGGTAGGGGGACGTGAAGCAATGCTGAACAATTCAGCTTCGTTCTCAAAAACACCGCGAAGAACCAAGTGATCCCAGTCTCAGTCGAACAGTTCACGTCACAGGAATCTGACACCATTCCAGGCCTCGCTCCTTTGCAGCTCCTCCAGTTCGCTTTCGAGCCGCGCCTGCGATCGTGGACAAGCCACGCATCCGAAGCGGATCGATGAGCCGAACGAAGCGGACCGATGAGGTATAGCCAGCAGTCGGAAAGACGTGCCGAACTTGGAGGAAGTCGGGGTGCCCAGAACATCCACAGCCCCTGGATGGGACTAAAAACCACCCCTCCCCTCTGTGACTCCTGGACTGTATGACGCTTTTTCAGTGTTCCAAGTGTTCCAAAATGCATACATTCTAAATATATATATATATATAATATAATTACAGTAGGTCAAAATGATAAACCACTCACCATGCAACAATGTACCTGGTATCTTCGACAATCCTCACCTGGTTCTTCATAATGACCATTTGATACCCCGCTCGCTTCGGATACTAGCCCTAGGCCCGTAATCGGGACTGACTTCCCTTGTCCAACCGGGTCAAACAAAGGATCTTTGGACAAGTGCGAATAGGCGAATTGAGCTGGCCCCAGAAAAATGATGCGACTCTGTAAACAACCTGCCAAGATCATGAAATGCCACTGGCAAACACCTTCCAGCCATTTTCAGCCACTGCGGCCTTTGCTTCCATCTTTTTGATTTGGCTGATGTTTAACCTCAACACATCTGGATCAAGAGCTGCCGGAGCTCCAGTGGGGCCAAGGTCAGCGCTGCAGGGCCGTGAAAGTCTCGAAAGAGTTCGCGAGCAACGTTGACTTTGGGTTCCCATTCAATCCACAACCTGGACCTTCAAGGGGTGTCCAATGGAGGTCCCTTAGTGGTGTGCTTCCATTGGTGACCCCTTTGAAGGTGCTGGAATCAATCCTAAATCTTCAGAAGGATGGTCCACGCTCCCTCTCAAGGTATAGAATCCGACATGGATCAAACACAGCTAAGCTTTGCGGGAGAGTTCCAAGATTCAATCGCTTCCAAGCCCGGCCAAGCGGCATCTCACCTTTCTTGAGACGGTTCTCGAGGATCTCGATGTCTTGCAATTTCTTCCTTACGAAGTTCATCTCCCAGCTCAGTGCTGGCTGACGGGGCACCATCCATTTTGGAGAATTGGGATCTTCCAACCCGAAGGGTCACAAATGTCTACAGAACATGCAGGCCCTTGTGTCAACCCCAGCGGTAGCCAAAGGTCTATGCGTCGAAAGACGGCCAGTCATGCAATGAAAACGGCGCGAAAGCAGCATACTGACTCGGATTTTTTGGACGACGCATCTCTGGTCATTCTATGTCATTCCCCCCATCCCCAACCAAGAGACCGCTCAGTGGTGGGGGAGCTTCTCCTCCTCTTAGCCAAACCCAGGACGTTTAATCCTCCAAGCGACTTGACCTGGTCCAAGCGTGAAGGACTCTCGTGTGAAGGACTCTCCGGTGCCTCGCGGTCGCGGTCGCCCGGCGCCCACGCCGACCCGGGCCCCATGGGATCGAAACCATGTTCGACGCCACAGCGGACCACTCGTGGCGTCGAAAGCATCTCGCGGCATCGAGGCGATGCACCGGAAACAGCATGTGAACATATATAACAAACAATGACAAACAAGTGTGCACTTGGAGGATGCACCCTCCGCTTTTGACTACTGCACGTTGGTCACGAAAGGCTGCACCACATACTGTTTTGGGGCTATGCAGATGGGAATATGATTGGATCATGGCGACCCGGGCTACAAAGGGTCTTGCTTCCCCCTTACCAGTCTGGCTGCGAGGGCCTCCCTACTTCAGTGCCACACTCTGCAGTTACTCAATCCACTGCCCCAGGTGCATCGTCAAAGTAGTGTGATCGGCTCGGGGAGCTGCTGACAGCGGAGCTCCCGCTCCCAGGTCGGCGCCGGCCACGGCCACCACCCCAGCCCATGGCTGCCAACGTGCTGGAAACGTGTCCCCAGGATGTCCCAAACAAATCCTTGACAATGTGTCTCTCGATTGCACTTCAAGTTCACCTAGCTGACTGGGAGACTATCATGGCTTTTAGGCACTCGAAGCTTTGGAAGGATTGCACTTGTCAGCCGCTGGAGCCAAACTTGCATTGAGACAAAGCTGACATTAGCAGTCCAAAGCGACTACAACATACTACGACCGTGGTGAAGTCAACTAATAAGGCAGGGGTTGCGAACTTGGGCCTCCCCAATATCAAACAGCAAGGGCATTTTCAGGCCCTGTCAAAGAAAAGAAAGGACCGTTTTGACAGGGGACTGTCAATCCCTCGTGCAATGGGGATTGTCAACCTTGTGACAACATTGTGTAACATTGTGTAACCTGATCACCTTGGAGCATGTGCGGTATACCCACTCGCGAGTCTTTCAATAATGAATTCATCTCATCAAATCCGAAGCACCTTCAACAGCACGTCTCCAGCTGGTCGCCAGTTCGCGCGCGCGCCCCGCCACAAGAGAAGCGTCTTCGATTCTTTTTGCTGCTTCCGCGCGGGTAAAGCGGCTAAAATCCCAAAAGGTGATATCGCAAACATGACCATGCTCCTCATCATACCCATGCAGCCAGCAGGAGCGCTCCCGCTGCTCGTTGTCCCGGTGGCTCACACGAACCCAAAGACCTTTGAGCGCTTGTGCTTGTAGTATCTGTCCCTTTCCGACCGTTCCCAACGGAGAGCTCGTGCGGCCTCAGTGGCCAAATGTCTTTTTTTAGTTTGTTTTTTTTAAACTTTTTTGTGGGGTTGGAGTGAAGGAGCAAAGCTCAACCAGCACTTTTGAAGTGTTATGATTCTGATCAAAAAGGGCACCTGCTTCAAGCTTCATGGTCTTGGTCATGTCACACCCCACTTACAAATGTTGGATAATTAGTTGTAGCGGTTCGGCCGTAGGTAGTTCGTTCAGGAGATGCAGCGCCATTCATAAAACCTGGCCACAAGATAGAACCAAGATCGCCGCAAAACACCCAACAAATCCCCATGCATTCCTCATTCCATGTACTCCATAAACCTCCGTCCTTCCGGACCTGAAAGCGGAGACCGGTCCGAGACCGAGCCGCGCTCCGGTGCCGCCCAGAGTGGCGTCGCTCTTCGGACCTCCAGGCGCGCGTGGAAGAGGATCGTCTCCTGGCGGCTTCGTCGAGCGACGAAGGAAGGAGATCCAAAGGAAGGGATCCGTGGCATCGCAGAACGACGAAGATCTCCGCTCAAGATGTAGAATTCCCTTCCCAAAATGGATCAGAGTGCAACATAGCTTCTCTCAAAGGGTCCTATACCGGATTCTGAACACAAAAACTTCATCTACCAGGCCAGAGGCTTCCTAAGTCTCCCCTCCAGAGCCTCCTCATCCCCTCCTCTCCTGATCCTCGCTGATGGCGTCCAAATCGGGAAACGATGCTGTCCGATCCAAATAGCGCTGTGCATCCTGCAGCCATGCCTGTACCTCGTGGCGACGGCTGGATTCAACCTCCTTGCCATCTTCAAAACGAAAAAACACCCGGCTTTAGGGTCCATCCGGCTTAGGGGTTGCCAACTCCAGTCCTGAGCATATGGTATGGTAGTAACTATAAATGATCTGGATCTATTTGGGTAGTAAATGTTACAAGGCTGGGATTGCTTTTCCGTTGCTGCTGCCTGAAAGGACTTGGTTCATTGATGTGGGGATGGGATGGGCTATTTATACAAGTTACTCTAGTTTGAGTGATCCCCACCATTACATTTTAATCATTTGATATCATTTGTCTTGGTGAGGAGCATGTTGCCATGATCGTGAGTTTTGTAGTTCTCTACATCCCTCTTGGAATTCGGCCACCAGGGCTGTCTGATTCTTTAGGAACCCACCGGTGCCACTGCCACACGCCACCTTGAAGGATCCTGAATCCAAATGGCCCGTACCAACATTGTAGCTTAAAGAATCACCCCTCTGCCAGCACATACTGTGCACATATGTGCACATACTGTTTTGTAGTTCTCGACTTTGTTTGTGGGTCCTCGGGTTGTGTACTGTGATTGTGGTTGTGTATTGTGGTTGTGTGCTGTAAGTGTGTGCCGTACACATGTCTTTGTGGTTGTGTGTTGTGGTTGTGCCACCCAACCCTGATTTATACATGGCACCACATTTGGCCCAAACCTGCCAGCTTTTGGCCTTCCTATCTTCCCCACTCTGTCACCCGACTCGGCCCTCCATCTTCCACCCCACCGCCATCTGCCGACCGCCTCCTCTCGCACCCACTGATGTCGGGTCCACTCTGCTTCAGCCGCCCAGCGCCCGAAGCGCTGCAGCGCCTCCAGACCCAAGCGTCGGAAGAGCCGGGCGCAGCAAGGCACCTGGCGACAGGACTCGCCACAGGGGGAAGCGGAGGTCCCCCCCTTCAATGGGAGCGGTTCAAGCTTCTTTTTGTTGGGCATCTGCCGGTGTTCGATGTATTTCTATTGGTTTGAGGCGAGGCCCCTAATCCCAAATTAATGGAAACGCATCCAACTTTAGAACAGCTTGTTGCAAGACGTGACCGAAGCTGATCTGAAGAGCCAGCGCAGCGCAGGGCGCCTCGCACGCAGCAGCCACGGTCTTCATGGCACAGCGTACAATCTGCTGAATGCCCCCCTTCTCATCGTCATCCTCCTGTGGCTTGCTGCTCTCACCCAGAAGCACGACCAAAGGTACGCAGCGACAGAAAAGCGATCTCAACATGGCCCAAACCACCGCAACTATGATTCACCATCCATCTCATCCATCTTTCAACACCTTCTCCCTGTAGCCCGCCACTCATCACGACGCTACAACCACCTTCGACCGACCACGAACCACAACCTACGGCCTCACGACCGGGCCTCCAAGGCATGCTTCAAGGCTGGGACAAAGCGACCATCGTACATCTCCGCCCAGCCCGTGTGCGCCGAGCGATCCGGATCCGACAGGATCAACCTGTGGCTCCGCATCTCCTAACCGCGACGACGCGTGCGACGGACGGACAAACGGGTGCGAGACGCGGTGTTGCAAAGATGGCAGGGCATCCTTAGGATCATCCTTGAGTCAAAACTATCCACTGTAACAACATGTGGTCACATCTATTGGTTGAAGGTTGTCAGAATTGCTCAAACCGAATTGTTTCTTCTTTGAAGACCACTATCGGAAGTGGATGGAAGTGGTATAGTACAGGCCTGGTATGGTTCCCACTCTGATCAACTCAGGGGTTCGGTCATCACATCACAAATGACTTCGCGGCGATCACGGAGAAGCTGAGATTCTTTCAGGAACTGGAAGAGCTGGCACGCCTGGCGAAGCTCCAAGAGGCGTCACTAGAAGCCATGACATAGACCCGGTTGGTGGTGTTGGTGGTTTCAACTCATGAACGAAACATATTGATCGCCAAGTCAAGGTTGAACATGGAAATATCTCAAACCACCACCCAGCAACCGCTTGCAGCCCCCCCAAACAGAAGCCAAATCCATTTCTGAGCCGTTCGGCTTCCAACGAGGACCTGTATTTGCCAGTGATTCGTGGGGACATGGCACCTGCATGGTCGGCTGCTTCTTGGAGCAAAGTCCAATCTTCAATTCTCGACAGGTCGAAACGCAACTGACCTGGTGTGGCATTCAGGTCTCCAGAAACCACCGGTGTCCATCTTCGAGTCGGTCAGAACCGCCGGTCAACGTTGCCTCGATTTGCTTCTGAACCGCTTCAGCGGCGTTCGCCAAGCCGTCCTCATAAGCACAGAAGGGCCATCGCACCAAAGTCGTGATCCAGTGGCGCATCTACATCATCTACGACAGTTGAAAGGTTGTTCTCTGGAACAACAGCACCTTTCAGATCATCCCTGATACAGTAAATAGCTGCACGGTGCTGCACGCACTTTATACACTATATAATGATATATTATATAATGTATGATTGTATGATGTATGCCCTGTATCAGGGCACAAAAGGCACTAAGCTTCTTCACAGCACACGAAATCTCTTCCTCGTCTTTCTTTCTCTGTCCTCCTCAAGCTTGCTGCCCTGCAGCCAGGTGAACATGGCGTTGCAAACGCTCAGAGGTTTATCCGCTTCCAGGACATGGCCTTGGCACTTTGGTTCGATGGTTGGATGTTGAACGTCTGACTGGGTGATGCCAGTTGCCAGCAGCTGGTCAAGGTACGGGTTGTGTAGGTTCGCAGCTAGTTTAAGCCAGTACAAGCTGCCGATGTAGACCTATATAAGTCGTCCCATGAAGCCTAGTTAGTTCATGGCTCATCGGTAGGCGGGAGTCGCACGGAGCTGACAACTGGGTGGTCTTGCAACAAGGAGAATACATTAATGGGTATATCCTATGACCACGGCCTCCGTGGATGATGATGGTTCAGTTGCAGGCCGAGATCTCTAAAAGAGTGATGTTCTTGTGAAACCTGACTGTTACAAGTACACTCTGACTCACTAACATGGAACTGGAAAATCCCTTGTTGGTGGAGGAGTTTTCATCATTTTCCAGTGACTCAAAGGGTAATAGGACAGACCCAAGGGATACAGTTGTCAAAATGATGTAGTCACAACGTAGTCGCCAACCGTAGCGTGAGACAGCGGTGCACTCTGCAAGTCGCCAGGTGCAAGCAATTCAAGATCCTATACACAGCCACCATGTGGAGTTCAAAACCTTTGCCGCTGCCCTGCTCTAAGTTGATCTCTCCCAAATTCAACCATTCCCAGTGTGCATGCAACAGCCAGACTGCAACGCCACTCCTCAGCCGCTTTGTGCAAACTTCTAGAACGGCCAGAACGTATTCCCCCTATAACCTTCTGCAAAAGCTGGGGGGCTTCGGCTGACCGAAAAGCCAGAATAGACCTAAGGAAGCCGGTCAAGTACCAGGGTGAGTGACACCGGGCGTCTCCCGTGTGCCACGAGCGTCCAGCCAAAAAGGCAGTGGTCGATGTGTCGATCAATCCGAGGAGCCGAAGTGGCCCTCCTGGTGCTTGGTGAAGTTCACTTCTAGAGCCTGCAGGTGAATTGGCGAAGAAAGGGGCGACGTTCGGCGCGGAGCCTGGGGTGGACAAATGAAACATCATGAAACCACGAAACATCATGAAACCAAAAACAGATTCCCTGAAACAATCATGGACAACCACCTGTGTGGTATTCGGAAAATGGTCATCCAAGGGGCAATGCCATCCATTTTCCTGATTGTTTCAGGGGGTGTACCTGGATGCTTCTGGATGGAACGCTACAAATGACTACTTGCAAAGTGCTAAGCCTCAGTGACACTTGTAAAGGAAGTGCGGTTTTCCACAGAATAGCTACAAGAAAGTTGTGTCGACAGTGTCATTGCATGCCATTGTTAGCTGCTAATGACTTCGTTGGCATAACTCCCCCAAACACAACCCACCGGCACACCCCTTGAACGAACGAAACGTGTTGAACCAGTGCCAAACGAGCCTTTTCTTGCCCCCAGCCTCGAAGAGCGAGGCTTCCAAGCGAGCTTCATGGAGACCAAAGCAAGTGAACAATAAAGGCAGCTTCAAGCGGAGGAGGAGCACCTGAGTTAAACCAACGGACCCGCTTCGGAGCTGACCAGCTAGCAGTCAACTGGCAGTCTGATCCATTTGTGACACGCGGCCAGCGTTGGAATCCAGGACTTCATATGCAATGGGACGCTGGCTCCCACACCTGGACATGAGCAATCTGACATGCGATCTGGGATGTTCAACAGCTTTGAACCTCATCTTCTTGCTAGCCAACTGAATTCAAACACTGGGCTTCATGAAAGCGCAACTAACTCAAGTGACTCAAGTAGAAAGCTGTCCACCTTTGTGCTGGGAGGCTTGACGAAACATGTGCCCCCTTTCTACATGCGATCGAAGGATGGGGCCGCAGGAACTCTGCTTTTTCACGCGGATTCGAGATGTTACAGTGCCATGACCAAGGATATGAAGGAGGGTCTCACCCAGAATGCTGGGGAATCAATTGGGCGATGTTTACACCTTTGTCCATCACAAGTTGATCCATGCACTCCTTGGGCCTCCCTCCAAAACAATTAGAAAACTACGCTTTGCGGATCCGCAACTAGCCTTATCCCATATCCTTGATCCAACCTTGCGGATTGCAATAAATGAAGGTCAGCATATAAGTCAGTATGGATGGGCAAACCATGTTGAATGTGGCTAACACCATTCACAAGATTCTGCATATCGCATGCCTGGCGCAACCAAGGGGGTCCAATTCCAATAAGCCATGACATGAATGAATGTTTCAATACTCTTACACCGCAACCCAAATCGAGGGAAAGCCGCCACACCAAATGCTGGATATCACAATTCAGAGAATATACATTTTAATAAGTAACATATGATATGACATATGTTTAAATTAACTTGCTTCCCAGTTCTTGTCCAATCAATTCCTTCCCCAAACGCACGTAGCAAAGCGTAGCGTAGCCGAAAAGGAGCGGATTGATCTCATCTGAGACCAACTCAACATCTGAGTGCTGAGATCCACCCGGATCCAAGCATTTTCCGTGGGATTAATGCTGCTTCAAATGCTGAAAACCATCAAACAACTCATCACACTTGGTCCGCAGCAAGTAACTCTCGCTCCGCGGCAAAGCATTGCACCCAGTGCAGCACATGCTCTCTCTCTCTCTCTGGATCTTGGATGTTTGCCCAAAGACATGCTCTCTTTTACAATCCACACATGGCGAACACTCGGAACATCTCAAACACCAGCGCCAGGCGCTTCTGTGACACATGGCGAACACTCACATACACATATAGCCGCCGTTCTCTTCCTACTTGTACATCTTGTGATGTCTTGCATCAAGTTAGGTTTAGACACAACAGGTTCTCCCTTGGAAAATGCAATGGTTTCACGACGTGGGCAATGGCAAGCTTGTGTGCCGCACGTCAAAAGTAAGGCCGATTGCTTCAGCGATTGGCCATGCTTGGCCGTGCTTGGGCCGTTCTAGAAAAACATGATCACTTTCGAGCTTATGCCGTGCTTGTTAGAATTTCATTGGAATACCACGGAATACCCTCCCACCAACACATGTTGGTTCATGTCCTTCTTTTAAGGGGTGGTTGGGAACCCTGAGTGATGAAGCAGCATCTGCTGTTCTCTGCGCTCCCCCTGGCCTCCCTGGGGCCTATCCCAGCCCTCAAGCTTCCTGGAAACAAGTTTGGAGCTGTGCTACGTCCACCTTGACTCTTGATTATGGCTCTTGATCATTGCGTGCATGGAATGAACAGCCCTGCCAAAAGGTTTCTTTTTCAACTCTCACACTCACTCAGCAAAGTAAACGCATAGTGGCATAGGAGGGAGATGAAGGGAGGGTGGGAGGAAATGCTCTGAAGCTCTGGTATGCTGAACTCGATCGAAAATGATCATGACCACGATCAGAACGCCGAACGCGTCGGTTCTTCCACTCAGCTCTTGTGAGTGGCTACCAACCGTTGCCACGGCAGGCTTTGCGATCTGAGCTGCGCTCGTCTCGGACGCGTCATGTTTTAAGGCTGAGCGCAGTCAGAGTTAGGTGTCACTGACTTTTGTCAGGCACGGGCGCTAGTTGAAGGTTCATTAAACCAGCCAACTCCGTAAGCATCTCATTCATCTCCTTGTCCTCGATTACGAAGCAGGCCCGATGGAAAAAAGAAACATGGCTGTTGCCAAACGGGGCTCCTTCCCGGTCTGTAAATAAAATCATACATAAATAGATAGATGGTAGATAATATATTAAGATAAAGATGAGATAAAATAAGACAAAATATAATACCATAAGCAAACATAATAAAAACAAAAACAAAACAATAAGCAATTACTGCAATTGAGACCTAGATTTTGATGTTTCTTAGTTGATAGATATGTATACACATAGATATGGATAGGTAAGATAGATCCGTGCTGACCGTCGAAGCAAATGAAACATCTTAGGCTAAGCCGCAACAGCTTGTATCATTATGATTCACTTTCCGAACTTCTTCGCGCCTCATCACGGGAGAGCCGCTCAAACAGGATGATGGAACCTGATGGCAGTCAGCAGAAAATGAGGCAATCACTGAGATGCCTCTCCGTTGAATGGATGCATTTCAACAGCTCTTTGATGTGTTTAACAATGTCAGGCCAGGTGGGCCCAGAAGTACTAGCCTGTTTGGTGGAAAAGCATATCAAGTACTGACACTCAAATACATGCAGTGGATCTCAGTGGGTTGGGGGGAGTTCTTGTGTTTCTGTGTTTTGAGAAGCCGCGTGCACTCAACAACATACTGTAAACACCCTCGGATATGATGGAATTGGAAATCCTGGTATCGACTGACAAATCTGACAGCGAGGCAGAATTCTGTGGGGCCACAAATGGGTCCTCCACAGTTTGACTGGTGGCAAGCAGTCCACAAATGTCCTCTTTGTTCTCATTGGGGAGTGAGCATTCCGTCGATGGATGTGAAGGGTATCGAGGATATTCAAGATTTGTTGGAAGGAGCCTGGCTCCACCGCAACCTCGCTGAACGAAAGCCGCACACCAGGTCCCTGAAGCGTGAGGTGACACAGGTCCATGTTGAATGACCGCAGCTTCCAAAAGATCCAAAAGGATATAGCCATTCTGCGGGCCTAACGGTGGGATTCACATCCAACAGTTGGTTGCCGAGAAAGACACGTTGGAGGCTCAGCTGTTCCCGGCACTCTCCCACCAGCCACATCCAGCTCCCCAGAACACCGCGAACGATTCCATGAGCACGTGGTCCTACGGTCCTACCACCCGAGGTGGACCACGTGGTGGACCACGTCGCCCCGGCACCACGGTCCAAGCCACTCGCCAGCTTGGGCTCATCGAAGCCACCGATCACCGAGCGTGCTGCCTTCCCCGCCTGGACTGGTGACCAGCGGCGACCGGTGTGTGAAACAAGGTCAATGGGGCCCATCTGACTAGCATAGCTCCCAGAAGGCAGGTCTTCCCACTATGAATCAACCATCAGGCTGGTCTTCCCACTGTCAATTGGTGAAAGACCTCCCCCAAAAAAAAAGAACCTGAGGCTGCGACCCTATTGGCCGATCAGTTGGGGTGGGAAAATATAACACATGTACACAAAAGTAAACACCACCCGATCCGCACGACCAATTGGATTTGACGACCCTTCCTCCAGCAAACATGGTTTGGTGTATGGCACCCACTGTCTGGTATTCGGAACATGGTCATCCACCGGCCACTACATCCGCTTCCATGATTGTTCCAGGGAGGGTGTTTCAGGGATCAATGGATGTAAATATGCATGTCCCATGGAGTGTCCGGGGTTGTTGGGAAGCTGTTTTCTCGATCCGCTGCTGGGTCGACAGTGATGGCTGCTGGCGGCTCTTTTCTTGGGTCGGGCAGGCGAAGCCTTTCAGAGGGTTTCTACGGGCTGCTCAACCTGGACCTGGGAAGGGGCTCCACCAGACCCTGCCTGCAGATGGGGGCTGTCACTGGCTAAGCATGGCTAAGCTGTATAGGGACTCCAGGGTTGGAAGTTGAACTCTATTTCGAAGCTTGAGATTGGATCAGCCACTGTTGGTCTTTCCTTTCCAACTAAGGGGTGAGAACGGGGTGAGATCATCGGTTTAATTCGGATCAATCTACGAAGCCCAACGGAACTCTCACACTAAAAACCTGAGAGGAACCTCTCTGCTTGGTTAACGCTTCGGATTCTGCTTTGGTGATCGATCGGCCACCTAGATTCGGAACGGCCATGGCCTTCACATGCTCCAAGACTCCGTTGATGATGTTGAAGTAGTTCTCCTCAGCCGGCGATCCCCAGAAATCGGCGAGATCGGCGATCGCCGGCGCCAAACGTTTTTGATCCTGGACATGGCAAGTGGTGGTTGTTGCTTGGGGGCTTCCAAGCCTTTTTAGTGGTTGTTTAGGTTGTTTAACTCAAAACATGACGGGCGAATCCCAAACAAGAAGTGTCTTGTCACCCCAGCTGACTTTGGTAGAATGATGCAAATGTGAACATCATCAGGGTCAGGTGCGGAAAAAAACAGTCCTGCCGTAATTAAGTCTTCAGGGTGCTATAGTGCGAACTATAGTGTGATGGGTGCTCACTGCTCACAGTAATGAATTGCTTATATATATTATGCTACTGTCCTGCTTCACAAAAAAACTGGCTGGCTCACCATGAATCGATTTCATCAGATCTCCTGCCATCTCCACGCACCGCGCACCTCCACGGGGTCACGCGAACATCCCGGGGCTCGTGAGCCTAGCCGTACAAGCCCGTCCGACCGAGGGGCGCGCAGATCCACGCCGTCATTCTCGAAGTTCAAGAATGCCTTACCCTCCTCATCCGACCTGATGGCATACCTAGCGTGACGGAGGATTCTGGGTTCGACAGAAGTGGCGACCTCCCAGCGAGTGGATTCGCATCGGAAAGAGGACTGCCATGGCAGTTGCCATACCTTCGGTCCTCCTCGTTAAGCACTGTTTTATGTGTTATTTTTGCTGTGACTGGGTGGGAGGATAGCCCAAGGCATACAACCTTCACACATTACAAGCACAAAAAATCCTGCGAAAGACACGACCAACATATGTTATCCAAACGATCCATGGAAGCTGTTCTATGAATGAACGACCAAAAACACCAAATGTATGCCATGCTTGCTTATACCAGGGCCCCCGGATAGGGGTGGTGAGTGGATACCCCGAATCACCTCCAAGGGGCTATCAATAGACACCCCTGGCCCGGGTGTCCTGGTCTAGATCGTCTGGCCTAGTTATTTTCTAGGGATCCAGTCGTACTCCCACCTCAGGTTCGGTACAACTAGACCCTCCTGGCACCTACATCACAGTGCATCCTTCCTCACCGGTACCTGAGCTTCGCTACGACTGGATCCGACCCGACCGACCCCTGGAGCTCGAGGGGACGTCCCCCTGGACCGCGAAGGCCGGACCGACCACCGAAGAAGCAAGACGGCTTCTTAAAGTTGCCATGTGTGAAGAAATGAACATTGTGACCCTGCAAGAAGGTCAGTGATCTTCAGTCCCTTGAACCTCAGGAACTTAAGGTCCCCAAAGAATGATCAGCAAGAAGTTTCTATTAAGGTCAACGTTGTTCACCGGTCTTCAACTGCAAGCCACGGTCACACGCGCGAGGTCTTCAACCGCTTTGACACGAATTGAAAAGCAATGGCACGACCTTTCCCCACCAGGCCACATCTAAGCTAGCACACTTGTGAGCACTTCCCACAATTCCTCCACTTGTCAGGTTTCTCAGCCTTTGCCCTTCGTCCAAAAAAACAGTTTCCAAGGTACTTGCGGTTCATGCTGCTGCCATGTTCCACGTTGTTCTTCATATGGGGCGGCGATGGGATCACAAACCACATCCAGCACGAAGACTTGCGACCCGCCCGGATCTCACCGATGGCACGTTCAAAGGTGCCGTTCTCCTTCCTCAGCTCAGTGTTTGGTCTGGGTTCCAGTCTTGGGAGATGCATCTCTGAAGTAGCTGGGTAAGTGGTAACTGTTAGGTGATTGTACATATATATATATATATGTACACAGTATGGACGTGCTAGCCAAACACAGAACCCAAACGAACCCAAATACTAGTGAACAAATCTTCGATTGCACTGGGTGGTCAACAGCTCGCATCCTTGGTTTCAAATGGAACAACAGTTCCATGATTTTCCATGGGTGTTCTATGCGTCTTTGACCTTGGATCCTTTCCAAGCTATACAATTTATGCGTTTGACAATATATCTTATCATATCTTGACCAAGTTTCTGTGCTTCAGTGAATCTCGCCAAATTGAAGGGGTCCAAGGGATTCTTGGGCCGGGATTGGCTTTGAGATCGGGCGCGTGGAGCTGGTGCTTCATCGTGATCCGATCTGCATCCCTCCCTTCCATCCCGGGTGTCTTTCCTTGGATGGACCAACATGGACCAACAAAAAGCAGATTCTCATAGGTTCCCTCAAACAGATTCGTCATGGGGGAGTGACACACACAAATGTAGAAATCATGAATACATATCCCAGACACTCCATGGGACTGCCATATATGCCTACATTGACCCCTCAAACCACCCCAATGTAGGCATATACGGCATACATGGAGTGTCTGGGATATGAATACAAGATCCCAAGCTTCATGCTTTTGCTCTTTTTCAGTGCTGGGTGAGTAAACTGTGGCGTGACCGACGATGTGGCCGGCGATACCACAGGTGCACTGGGCCTTCGTTGCTGGATCTGCTGGAGCCTGGGGGGTGCCAATTCATCGACACCTTGGATTTGCTGTCCAGGAAGCTGGACGAAAACAGAAGATATTCCCCCAAAGGTGGTCACCTAGGGAATCATAGAGAAAATTCAACAATCACCCCAAAAACACATGCAAAACACATGCAACACCAGGACACTATGACAACTATGACGCCGCGCAGGGGTGGAGCAAGCAGGGCTGAAAGGTGAAGCAGGGCGACTGGACGCCGGGCTTCGGCTGTCGGGCGTCAACATGGGACTCGAGGGTCGGGGTTCAGGTGCCGTCACGCCCTCGCCCTTGCGCCGGTTGGCGCGGCGTGCAGAGTTGTTGGGGCCATAGGAGGGGGGTGGCTTCTTCACTGGCACCTCCAAGGCCTTGACCTCGTGATCGGGTTCGATCAGCGAGACGGTGACCTCCTTGGGGCACACGTGACCTCCGTGTGTGTGGGGCGAGTTGGAGCCCTTTTTGATGGGAGAGGTGGAGTCCTTCTTGGTCAATAAAGTCGGTTCCTTCTTCAAACCGACGTCCACCGTCACGTTGTTGATGCAATCATCCTCGGGGTTTGATGGGGGAATGCCCATTTTCGCGGCATCGCTGGCTTCAACCTCGGCCACCTCCTCGACATTCACATCGGGTGCGACTGCGGTCATGGGGCACACAGGGAGTTGAACTGCCATGGCGATCAGGCAAACTGGTCTTGCCTCTGATGATCTTCTGGCAGCTGAGCTGAGCCGGCTACGAACATTCAACCAGAGTGACATGGTGTCATCATCCCTTCACACAAGCCTCCAACCCCTCCTACGATTGTCCGATATTCTCTGAGTGCAAAAAATGTACAAGCATGCATAGGCACCACTCATCTCCGCGCAGCTTCACTGACTATCACCACACCCCCCAAGCGACTGCACGTCATTGTCACGTCTTGGACCTGCGATGGATCTGCCTGAAATTCACGGAACGCATGTGTGACATATCCAACCGCTTATTTTCAACGCGTCACAAACCTGTAGCTTCATGATTCATGCAGCACTCCAATCCCGCCTGAGTTGAAGGCACAAACGAAGCTTGGCTTTTGCAGATGTTCGGGCAACTCGATCTCATGGAGCAGCATTGCAAAGGTGAAAACCCTGGTGCCGTTGTGCACCAAGACTGCCTGCGTCGACTGCGCGTGCACGTTTCTTCGGGTCCCAGCTGAGCGACGCTTGACTCACTGACACCAAACAGCTTTGCAGCGACACCATCTCAAAACCACAAAGAGTTCATCAGTATCAATACATCGCGAGCACTGGTAACTATAGTGTCTCCAATGTACAAACAACACAAATATAAAACATACTGTAATACAGCTAATGATACGCGCAAACAGCTCGTTCCAACAACACCGGTCGACGCCTTGTCCTCTTCCATCTCTGGGCCGATGAGAACCTGAACAAAACCAGGGGGTGAAGGAAGAAGATGGAAGAAGTGGTTGAACTTCATGAGAGTGGTCGGCAAAGAGGGACTGCATTGGATGGGTAAGAACATGTAAAAAAGAAGGATGAAAAGAGAACTAACATTCGTGGGTTGGATGGATTCTGCTCAGGGTCCGAAGCTCGTGGAAACTACCAACTTCATCCAACTTCTTGATGCAACATCGGTTCCAAAGAAAGTTCTTAACAACTTTCTTCATCCAACTTCTTGATCCAATCGTGGAGTTCCAAAAAAACTTGTGACCAAAATCGGACCTTGAGGGTCGACCGAGGCGTTCACTCGGTCGTAAGACCAACCAACCAAGCGGCGATGTCCCAACCAACGTCCAGGCAAGACAGCAGCCGGTGCCAGCCACCTTCCAGAATCTGCCGTTTCTCCTGACGGTCCGAAGCCAAGAAACGCTGAGGTGTCCACACTGCGGGCTGTTGGGAGGCCAGTGTTGAACTAGTATATCAGTGGTTGGGGAACTCCCCGCGATTCTTTGGGATACCCCTGGCTCCTTAGCTGTAGCTCCCTCCGAACCACTAGCAATACTAGTGAAGGATAGTGAAGGTTAGTCCTCCCATGCCTACGCCTCATCGGGATGCGATCCTTCTAGAGCGACGAATCATCTTCATGCAGCTTGGCGACAATGCCATCTCGCGCTCCCAGGATCCAGACCACCTGCACAACTGACCAGCAAAGTTCGGTGATGGGGAACATCTCCGCTCGTGGTAACGAGCCATGACACCCAGCTTTGGGGTAATATCTTTGTTGATGTTTGTTGCCTTTTGGGGGGAGTGGGTGGTTGGTGAATGTCGAGGCCGGTCTGCAATGCAACACAAGGGGGGCTGTTCCGCTCACAAAGTATCTACATTTTGTGGTCGAGAACATGGCATCTGGACAGGGTAGTACTGCAACAGGGTGGAAAAGTAGAGAAATCTTCGACTTTTCTCATCATTTATCATCGTTATACCAAACAAAATGAGAATCGCCACGTGAATGTTCACAGCAGTCTCGGAGTGAATTGGCTGGTTTGTAAAGGAATTGTAACCTTACCGAGTTACAAAGTGCATATAGAATATAGAATGAGATTCAGTTCAATATACATGACGTTGCACCCACCTTGAAGCCAATGAGAGGACACCTTGCTCAAACATCGGAGTGTAAGTTGGTTTTCTTTTATAGGAGCTCCATGTGTACTTGACGGACGTTTCCAAGACTACTCGGAGTCATCTGACCCCTTGTCACTTGAAAACACATATTCTGGGTTGGAACATGTTGGAACCGATGTCAACCTAGGATTAAGTCACCTCCCCCTATTAGCCCGGCTGCCCCAGAAAAAAAGTAAGAACATTTTATAGCTTTTTTTTTTTGTATTGTTTACTTTCTTTTTAGTCAGTATTCAATTTCTTCTGGTCCATGGTGAAAATTATCTTCTCATCAACCCTTTTCTCATCATCTCATCATCCATCATCAGGTCATCATCTTCTTTACTAGGGGGATGTGGTCCTCCAATACCTCCAATCTCAAACCTTGTTGATTTTGCTGACCTTGAAGGGGGGGCCGGGGCCCCCCCTTAAATAATTAATCCTACGTCGACATCAAGCAATCTGTGCTCAGATTGTTATATAAATCAATCAGCGTAAAGCCAGCGGACTGTTTCTGTTACCCTGCTTCATCCGGCATTCATCCCCCTTGGTGTCACCCTGCCCCCGCCCGGCGATACCAAACAATGCCGAGCTGCGCAGCGCCCATTCACGGGCTCTAATCCTTGGTGTCGCCGTGTGTCGTCCGATTGGGCCCTTGGGCTCTTCAACGAAGTACGGCGGTTCGGTCGTTGCAACGGAGCGCCTCGAAGCAGTGACTCGGTCGTAGCCAAGTGTCGCCAGGCTGGCATCTTCTGCAGAGCTTCCAGCAGGGCAAGACCAAAGCACTCCTTCTTCTTCAGTTTCAGGAGCTGCCAACGATTGCAAATATTGCAAAAGCAGAGCACCATACGACCATACTCTAGAAGACGTGCCGGTGCTAAGATAAGGGTTCCCCAATCAAAGAATTGAACAAGCTGAGCATAGCTGAGCCAAAAACCGAAATCCAAGGTTTATGCCATCCAAATGAGTTGGTTTCGTGCACGTAAGGACACGCAACCAAGCTCCAGCCTACCAAGCTCCGTGATGAGCAAGAACACCCGACGTTTGGTACTGCGCTCCCCACCAGGAACAGCAGCGAACGAACAAGCGGTGCTTTGGACCGAAGTTGCCGTAAGCGGTTGCCCTCCCATTTCGATCACTCCATGCACTGCTGATCCAGATTGTCGAATCATAATATAATACTTATCATGATATCGGTGTAGTAACTGTGGTGCACAGCCTGCTGCACAGCTGCTACTACAGCTGCTGACTTCTTCTTTCAGGCCAGAAAACGCCTCCTCTAAGATGACCCCACCCTTAATTGCACGTGTCCTTCTATCATCAAATTGAAGACTGGAAGAATCCTCAGCCCCCGACGGCCTGGTCACCTCGCCCCAAATCCTTCCAGCTACTAAAGCTGCAGGGCTGCAAAAGGCACTTCAGGTCCTCGTGCGAGACAGCGGACTCACATGAGTATGCATGTTCCATCATGTCTTCCCATCATGACAGGAAGAAACTTCTTCAACAACTGAGCATGGCGTCCCACTTTTAGAACAAAAGAACCTGATCTCACGATCGAGACACTTGACTTCTACGAGGGGGGCCCCGCACATCTGGCCCTCCAAGTCATTGATGGAGAGGATGATGATGCATTTGGGTGTTCAATACATTTTACCCCAAACGGCAAGTTTTTTAAGGCTAAACTTTGGAATGATAAGTGGAACCAATAGCACCAAACTGCAAAGAGATTCTGCTACAGTTTGCTTGGTGTTCTTGATGGCCAGGAAATGGAATCACTATGAACCATCCCTGATCAAACGTATTTGGCTAGGAAACATGGCAACCAACACCTGTCGATGGCCAAAGCCCTGATCAGAAACTGATCACCCCAAACAGCCAAATAATGTCATGCGTATAGAGCCATAGAGCCTAGACTTTTGTTAGCAGGTGGCCCCTACGTGTTGGGTCTATCAGTCTATCCTATTACTTCCCATGTTACCAGTAACAGTGGATGATGGTTCAGTTGCAGGCCTTTCTCTAAAATAATGAAAATTCTTTACCAAAGGAAATGGGCCTGAACCAACCTATGTGTTACAGTTCAGTAGATCCCGTCTGACCGACGTGGCGCTTCGTGGCCCGTCCACGTGGCCCGTCCGAGCATCACGAGATTCGCTCTTCCCGGCACAGGTCGCCCGGTGCTGCTTCCAGTCGCCCTTTTGGCACGGGGCCTGAGCGGGTGAAGCGAAATCCCGTCTGGCCGGAGCGGTTGCAGTGGTGCTGCTGCTGGTGGTGGTGGTGGTGGTGCTGCTGCTGCTGCTGGTGCTGCTGCTGCTGGTGGTGGTGGTGGTGCTGGTGGTGGCTGGTAGTGCTGGGTGGTGGTGGTGCTGCTGGTGCTGGTGCTGGTGTTGGTGGTGGTGCGGAGTTTAGATGGTTGTAGGTCACGGGAGTCCATCTGCTTGATGAGCTACATGGGTGTCTCTAGCGATCTATCTTGTCTGAAGGCTTCCTTAGGTTTCTGATGGCTTTCCCTTAAGACTTGAAAAGCATATTGAGCTTGCGGGGGCTTCAGAAATATCCAACAAAAGGTTAGACTAAGAATGCTAAGACTATTTCCTCAGGACAGCTTGACTCGACATTGGAATATTCTGGACTTTAGTTATTTTGCACTTTTGTGATGTTCTGTTGTTTATTCGTTTACATCAGTACAAGTCATTTCCAGATTTGCTATTTATTGCCCGGGTGTAGTTGGTTTACCGTAATCAGGCTCCTGCAATGGATTCAGGTTTCACACCACCTGCCAGTAAGACTGATTTTAAGATTCTTCCAAATCCAGCTCAACTCCAAAAATATTCAACACCTAGGAGTTGGGTCTATCCTGGGTCTCAGTGGATGATGATGGTTCAGTTGCAGGTCGACAGTTCAAACATAGTACTAATTGTTTACTGACGGTTACAGGTATTGAGACAGACCCTACCTAGGAGCTTGATGGAGCTTATATATATATAAATTTAAAAAATATATATATATATTATATACCAGCTACTCCAAGAGAAGCCGGATTCATATGAAAAAAAAAATTGTATGAATACCCGGACTCACGTAACAATTTTTATGTTGACGTTGAAAGACCCGGACTCACGTTGAAATACCCGGACTCCTGTTTTGCAGTGGTTTTTATGGTGTGTGGATGGATGTGATGCAACATTAGTGGATCAAATGAGTGGGCTTGCAGCTGTTGGTTGGCGGAGGTTACTCTGGCATGTTTGATTTTCAGCTGCAATCCAAATTGTTTTGAATTGCAAGGTTCAATGGTTTCAAGTTTTGCCCGCAGCCGCAGCCATTTCTGCTTTGCCTGTGTTGTCAGTAATGGAGAGCTCCAGCCAAGTCATGTCAAACTTACAGGGTTTGGCCAGTGAGTGGGATTCTATCCCGCGTCTTCGAGACCGCATGCGGCAGGTTGGTCGCATCATCGTAGATCGACCTGCAGAAGGTGAATCTGAGAAGGCTTGCGACATTTTGATGAAGTCCGTTGAAAATGTCAAACACAACGCTGCTGGATTAAAGCCTGTTGTTGCGCGGCTGGCTGGCCATACTGACAAGGTTGTGGAGGTGGATGCTTTGACTTCTCAGATCCGTGAGTTCTATGAAAAGCTTGGCATGGTGCCCACAGCCAAGGTCGTTTCGGACCAGGCTTGGTCTTTCCGGTACCTGCTCTCCACTTTGAAGGGGCATTTGTACCGCGAGAAGCCTCCGAAAGATTCTTGAATGATGACAGTAGTATATTTTGGAATGATGACAGTGGTATTTTTAATTTGTCATATTACATTGTTGGCCGTTTTGACGTTTTTGCCAAAGACCGTGAATCAGGATCCTGTAATGCAAGACCTCTTGACAGCTTATGGAATGGACATCAACAATTGGAAGCCTATTGCTGGGAGGGTCAGGTCAAGCAGCCGTGAGGCATCTCCTGCTTCTTCAGTGTCCTCTTCTTTGTTATCGCCTGGTACAAGACCTGACTCAGCGACAGATGCTATGAAGGCCACTCCTGCCCTTGGAGTGTGTGAACCTGGTGACCCTCAGTCTCTGGTCACATTAGCCCTGCGCAAGAAGAACCTGCTTGAAGCGTTCCTAATATTATATTAATCAATTATACTGTTTGTCCTTTTGTGTATGCTTTTTTTGCGTGGCATAATGACAGCTTAATTTTGCGATTCATTATGGCTAAGGTTGGAACTGGCAAAGAAGCGTAAGCAAGCAGAACAATTGGCTGAGATTGCTGCCTTGCAAGTTCCTGCTGCTAGCGGTCACTTGTCTTGCATGGCCAATTTATTTTCCTCATGTTTGCTGTAAGTATTGTTCAAGTAAGTTCATTTGGATGTGTGACATTGCATAGGTTCCACCATGGATTGCGGGCCGACCTTGCCGATGGAAATTCCTGAGCCTTCCATGGAGATCAACACTGTCAAGATCGAGACTCCTCGGCTGCCAACAGTGACAAATGGCAGCGAGGCTGCTGCTGAGGCTGCCTACCGCTCAATGCCAACGCAAAATTACGGAGTTCCGCCGGCGGCTACCAAAGCTGAGCCGGAAGGCGGCGTCTCAAAAGCTATCGCCCCAAATGTGGAAAACTTTTCTGCTGAAGTGGAAGCACGCTTAGCAGCAGAAGCAAAAGCTCTCCTCGAAAATCCCTTGGATGATGGAGATGCTCGCAAGGAGCAGTTGAACATGCGTGCAGCTGAGATGGAAAAGAAGGAGGCTGAGAAGGAGCAGAAAAAAAAGGATAAAGAAGAAGCACTAAAGAAAATGGCCGAGGCCAAGGAAGCCAAACAGAAAGCAAAAGAAGAGAAAGCCAATGCAAAGGCACAAAAGAAAGAAGACCGGGCCAAGGCCAAAGAAGAGAAGGCCAAGGCCAAAGAAGACAAGGCATTGGCAGCAAAATCGAAGCCAAAGGCAAAGGCAAAGGGCAGACCTCGCAAGGGGAATGGAAAGGAGCAGCCTGCAGATGAAGAGAACCAGCCTGCGCCTGCAGACGCAAAACCCCCTGCGCCTGCAGGTGAAGACCAGCCAGCAGATGGCAAGAGCCAGCCTGCACCACCAACCAAACGCCGCAGGGTTGAGCGCCGGCCACAGCCCGAAGCTGTAGCTGGGGAGTCTTTGGTTGATGCCGTGATGATGTTGGAGATGCAGGCTCTGCTGGTGAAGTTCAAAGACCAGGCCTACAACAGGCAAACCGAGACATTGCACAAAGGCAAGTACTTCAGCTGCCAGTTGACGGTCTACTGGTCTCGGGATGCTGCAGGTGTCAAGGTGAAGAAGAACAATAAGGTTACAGGAGCACAAGTAGCATACTATGCAAAGTTCGCGCATGTCACCTTGGCAATTTACTCGGCTGTGAAGATGGCCGAAAAGCTTGACCAGGAAGGGGCAGACTTTGTCAATGACCCTGCCTTTGACCGCTTTCACGAGACCTTGAAGCAAACGGCCAAGGCAGCAGCTGAAGCTGCTCACACCTGAGTCTCAATCGAGACCATCTGACCCGATCAGATTTAATTTGCCCATGGCAAGCAAGCTTGCGGCTTGTAGGGACGGTGAGGGTTGCGTGCAGCTTGTAGAGGGATGAGTTTTTGCTGAAGTATAATTGTTGGTGTGGTGTGGTTGTTCCAATTATACTCCATTGGGGATGCCTCATCCCTTGAGATTCGCTGCCTCCAACCCATCTTGGAAGTTCCAGCTTGGGGGGCCACCAGCGCTCAAGTGCATGTGGTGGCGGAGTAGTGGTTTCAAGGCTTGCGAGTCAAAATGGATCCTGGGATCAGTCCTGAGTTTTGACTCACTAGTGTTTGCTCCATGCACCAGATTCACGCCAGGTTCATGTCGTTTGCTGCTCCTCTTTGTTCCTGGGTGGCCTGAAGTTCCATCAATTCAGGCAGGGTCTTGAGGCGTTCACTTTAGATGTGATGTGAGCTATAATTGCAGCCATTTCATTTCAGGATATTTTGTTCATGGTTGCAGCCAAACCTTTCATCCGATTGGTGCTATTTTGCTACCGCCTGCATTTCTGTAGCCATTTGATTTCTGCAGCCATATTCGGTCATGCTGAAGCAGTTTCCGCTTGTTTGTTCGCAGCTATTTTCCCCCCGCAGCCACATTGCAGCCATAGTCTAAACCGCAGCATTTGAAGCCATAGTCTAAACCGCAGCATTTGCAGCCATATTCTGACCGCAGCGCTCTTTCAAGATTCCGCAGCAATTTCCAAAAGCAGCCATTTTTGCAGCCATTTTGAGTCATGATCCCGGTATATATTTCGTGGATGGAGCTCTTGATAGCTTCCGCAGCTTTTGATATATAATTATTATCTTAGCGGTCCTTTAGTCTGAAGCCCCTTTTCCAATTGCGACCATTTTGCAGCCATATTCCTGGATGCCTTTCTTGCAGCCATCGCTGGTAATTTAGGTTCTGCAAGCTCATTTGCACTTGCAGCAGTTTTGTTTGGCTCCCAGCTTATCTACTGGGTCGGATTCCGGTTGTAATTTATACATATAAGTCCACAGCCTGGGCAGGTGTTGCAGCTGGGAGCTCTGGCGCCTACACGACGTCAGGGGAATCAGATGGGAGGCCTGGCCTGGTTGTTTGGGGTGTGTGCGATCACACAGACCATGGTGTTGAAATCAGGCAGTGTGGCTCAAGCACACTTGAGGTATAGTATTTGATGTACTATAGGTGGAAATCCCAACAAGCACTCATGGCTCACATGCCTTCGGAGGGGCCAAGCAAACCAGATTGGTGGAATGAGGAAGCGCAACACATGTGGGAGCAGTTCTGCTTCCTATATATGACATCAAAAGGAAAGGGCAAAATGACAGCAGACCTTGGTGGGGCAGCTACACCTTCGGGTCGAGTTCCACCGCAGCCACAACCGATGATGGCATCAGGCAAAGGAAAGGGATCTGGGATTCCTGAAGTGCCTCCACCTCCTTCACCTCCGGTCGAACCTGCCAAATCGGGTGCTCCCACGTTGCCACCTCCCAGCACACCTGCTCAAGTTCATGGAGCTGGAGCGAAGGCAAAACCAAGACCGCAGCCGCCTCAAGGTGGGGATATTTCAAGTGAATAATCTTTGCCAAAGTGAACTTGTCTTGATGGATGATCATGGAATGTTGGCAGGCCGGTGGGTTCAGCTCTGGATGTGGATGCCAGAGAATGGTGAGCCAGCCTCTTTTCCACCACC